ACATAAAATCCAACTAAACCTCTGCTGACTGCACCACTATGAATATACTGCGCAAACGAGCACATAAAATCCAACTAAACCTCTTAAATCTGTGTTTAGCAGCCTCACGCTCAAATTTCCTACAGCACGAAAAAGTATAAAACTCGGCGAAGTGCCTTACCCGATAATAGGTGGGCCATCTACCTCTGGCCTGTAAGTAGAAGTATCGTCGATTGCTCCAGAAACGCAGTGGGAGAAGTCGCTCGTGCTGCTGCTGCTGGCGGATTCCCTCGTGCCGGTACTTCTCTCTGCCGCATCTCGCTGTTCTTGTCCTTTGCATGTGCTGGCCTGGGTTCCCATGTCGACATTTCCCACGCCTAAACCAGTAGGATAATAGCTCAAAGCATTACTGGGCCGCTGAGAAGACGGGAGTGCCGCAGATGGAGGGGAGGTAGCAGCAGCATTAGCAGGAGGGGAATCAGCAGCTGCAGCACGAGGCGAATCAGGCCTCGCCGAATTTGCATCAGCGGCCACTTCAGTACTCAATGAGACTTCTACCGTCGGGGAAACGCCGGCTGCGAGGGCGCCTACCCTTTTGGTCCCCTGCACCAGCAAATCCTCCTCCTGCTCCGAATCATCGTCTCCCCCAATTGCAAAGACGGATTCAACAGGATGCATAAAGGAACAGTTTTTTTTTTAAAAGAAGGACAAGCTCTCGATCTTCCCCCCCCTTTTATGTGTGCACCAGATAAACCGGTTATGGACTGAATCGGCAGGTGTCAAGTGCTGCGTGTTCTTGATTAGACAGACAATACTTTCTGTTCCAGTTCGTCAGATGCGGGCGCCGTTTTGCTGAAAGACAGCCGCATTAGACGGCCCAGCTAAATAGTAGAAAGCTGTTTTGAGTACGAACACTTGCCATATCCCCCAAAAAAAGACAAGGCAGGCCTTATCCTCATGAAGTGGGCCACAGATAATGGATGAGTCTTTAGCACCTAAGCCAGCACCCTGAAATATCCCCGTTACTTCCAGCTGCGCCCGGGATACTGATGTTAACAATGTTCCTCAGGTGCTGTAAATGGGCCACAGGCATGGCTCACTGTTGTCGTTATGTTGGAACTGTTAGAAATGATCAACACCTGAGACCCGACAGCACCCGCATGAGCCATGGACGAAGACTGACTACACTGCTCGCCTGACGAGCATGAAGGTTTCGTTTGACCCCGATCTACATTAATATAAGAGACGCATCAACAGTTGCAGCCTTGAAGCTAGAGGAAAGAATCAGAGCACATGCTCGCCTCTGGTGGGTCTTCCCTGTGTGGGAGCTGCACTTGTCGCCCTGTCCAGCAAACAGTTGCAGAATGAAACTTAGCAAAAATATTCTAATGCGTAGTAAAAGCGAAGTTCAGAAAGCGCATGTGAGGAGCAAGCGCACATGTACTCTTATATCCGCTCTTCTACACCAGCGCACCAGCCTAGCTTGCTATTGTTCAAGAGGAGCAGGATCAGATTTATTTGCGCTACAGTTTTTGGACACTTTGCACAAAATATCAACTGTTCGATTGCGCGCTAGCACTGCTAACTAAAGCATTTTACAGCGGGCTCCTTTAGATGTATTGGTCTGATTCTACGTAAGGCTAGTAAGGCACAGGTTAGTAGCTTCGGGGCTGGCAAAGGCTGTCGTACTCAGGGCTCAGTGTCCCGGGGGGTTCAAATAACTTTTACTTATTTAGAGATCCCCCTAGCGTTTATGTGCCGTCCGAGCTCATTTAAAGAGATATAAGCGTCCCAGTCGGAGAGTCCATCCAAACAGTTCTAAGTCTCGCGTTAATACTCGTAACACCCCGTAGATATTACTAGCAGCTGCTTCGGGTTACCTTTCCCGCCTTGGCAGTGATGCGTTGAGCTTTACAGCCACTGTTTAAGGCTTTGACGGCCATGTCGGAATCATGCTGGCCATACGACCGACAAGACCAAAACCCCTGATGCTCACAGCCAAATTCATCCGCCTTTAAAGCCGGAGACAACGCGAGAGAGCCCGCGTTGTTCTATTGAAAAGACAGTTTTAAACACACCAGTTAGCGCCTATAAAAGAAAGCCGTGTATTGCGTTCCATGTCAAATTCGGCCACGACGTAATCTGCCTATTGGGCAGCAAGGCAGCACGATCGTCTCATACGATCTTTTGTGTTCTTTCCCTCTCCTCTGCGCAAACCCAAGCAATTACCTTACAAGATTTCATAGTGATCCCTGCCCACATGCTTAAGAGCATTTTCTGTTCGCTGGAAGGTTTCCCATTCCCTGCACCCCATGCTAATCCACGAAGGCACAGTATTGTTCGCTCGTATGACATTGTTGCTGGACAGAATAGTGCAGCAAGCAGCGTTCTGTCCGCATGTTGCCATTTCTCCATAACGCATGTGCCACTTCTTATTCTGATTGTGCTCGCATACCCACTTTCTGGTGAGTGTGTTCGAGAGAGGGAACTGCTGGAATGTTGGCTAAAACGACGCTACAGGAAATCTTCCTGTCCCCTGTTTGGTGCTTAGGTTGCTGTGAGCAGAAATCATGCGCTTCCTCTTGGCTCGAGCCGCCGGTTTACCCCCATATCACATCTTCGTTTTCTCGCAGACTGCGGCCGGAAGTAAATAAACAAGAAAGCATTATTACACTGTGGTTGCAGGGCATACTGACAATGGTATGGCTGTGGCGAGGAAGGGAGCTGACGGATGTAACCGTCTACAACGGTTTTAGGGGCACACTCTTTGTAGGCAGCAAAAAAGAGGAATACTACGCTTGAACCATGGAGCCTCCTCCCCGTCCTTTCATCGCCTAGAGTCCCACAGCTGTGGAGCCTTATAAATGGCACTACAATGCAGATTGCGTACACGCTATAGACTATGTGCACATCTGGTTATTCACCCTGTAGCTTACCACTACGACACGAGGCTGAACTTCAGAACCTCATATCAGCGGGCACGCCGGGAGTCACATGTTGCCTTTTTAGTTAGTAAACTTCTATTTCCCCTAACTGACCCGCGACCCTACGCCCTCTCCCAGCCTGCACCTTTTTGTAAATACAATGCCCATTATGTGAAATAGTTCATTGCCCGACCTGGAATTGGGGCATGGCCGCTACGCGAATGACCTCCGCAGTGCTCCGGGAAAATGCACAGCACTAAATAACCGGAACATAAGTACCCATTGCGAGTCTAATTCCCGCTATAAAGACACTTAATGGCAACATTAGCCCCCGTAACCAGACATTTCTGCCTTTGCTGTAAGCTCCGCATGCACAAGCACGAGCACAGTGGGCGACTAGATACCAAGTGTCTTGAGTAAGAACTCTTCGTGCTTTTTCGGATGGATTCCCGACAAATTGAGTCCAGCGTTCGGGATATTCCTCCTGATGACTTGAAGATGATTCCTATATCTGTTGAAAAATCCAGAGCCTCTCAAGAAGCGCGGCGGGGGCTGGTGGGCCACTTCATCTCCATGCTCAGACGCAACGTATGTATCGACAGTGGCGTGGCTCCATTGTCTAGGGTAAAGTATATGCAGCGGAAGAACAACTGCAGTCTTCAATTCGGTTATCTCCCTGGATGACCTGCAGCAACGTGAGCAAGCTGGTGCCGAGGTAGGACATGCTCCTTTGGCCCGCAAAACTTGTTTCAGTATAGGCTGCTCAGCTCAAGCATTGGACCTTTTGATAGAAGCCACGGTGGACGGAACAGTAGACTGCATCTTAGCAGGTATCATACTCTGGACATGATTTTTGCCAGCATGTTATCAGAGGTGCGCAAAGCAAATACGCAGTGCAGTGCAAAATGATGTGTGGCGTTTCACGCACAAAGGAGGGACTGGGCAAGATAGAGATGTCTGTTTCGAAACATACACTTTCAAAAAAAATGTATGCATACAGGCATGCACAGGCAAACACGCAAGCACATAGGCAGACGCGAATGCAAACGAGCAACCACATACATACACCATAAACATAATATATACATATATATATGTATATATATATATATATACGTACATAAAGACTGTGCGTGTGCGTGCGCGTGTGCATGTGTGTGTGTGTGTGTGCGTGTGTGCATTTGCGTGTGTGTACTTGCACTAAAATGTAAACACATGATGTACATTTTGCACTGCCAAGCAGGCATCCGTGGGTCACTTCCGTGCAAACGCACATCTTAGAAATGTGTGGATACAACTTTCTACATTTTAGAAAAGATAGCTGAGCAGACAGGCAATTTGGCTTTGTAATCCTAATCACCTGCGTCCACGGGAACGCAGAAGGGGATTGTTGACGATATGTGGAAGCCGAGCTCCACCAGATCATTTCCGTCAACAGGCGAAGATAATCTCTGAAGATGGGAGATGACGCCGACACTGGAGCCCCGCCTTCACGTTCATGAGTGTAATCACTTGAGATTCGTAAATACACTTCAGAGATTATCTTCGCCTGTTGACGGAAATGATCTGGTGGAGCTCAGCTTCTAAGCCGACAGTAGCTTTCCAGTAGGTGCTGGCGCACTGGAAGATAAATGCCGTCCTACGATAGAGTCTGACTGATTTGCATGTAGAAAGCACCCACTGATCTTTGCAAGCGCTGCTGGGAATTTCCTCAAGGAGGCTAGGACTACGTCAACGCAGGCTTGGAGCTTGCAGCTAGCAGAGGCGGCTGCCGCACTCTCATCGCTCTCACAAATACCGACTGGACCGCTACTCACGACGATTGGAAGGATTCGCTCGGCATATATCCCGCAAGTCGTGATTTGTACGCAGCACATTGCGAATTTCGGTAATCTTCCTGCTCTTTGAAGGCAGCCTTACGGGCTGATACATTTCGTGTTCCCACATTTCCTCAGCGACCAACGGGTGCCTCCACCCAACTGCGCCACTGTGACACACTTTCTTCTCTGTGTGGGTGTGCAGTGTGGTGGGGAACGCATGTTGATGAAAATATTGGCCGTCGCAAACGGACAAAGGCAAGTACTTCGCTTGTCAGTCTCAGAAGACCTCTTGATGCGTCCAGGCGGAGCCCTGTAACAGCGTGTTGAGGAACCCTGCTGGCACATGAAGTGGAGCCGTCTGCTGCAGTTGCTTGTAATGTTGTGAGTCACCGTCGTCTTTTCCCATATATTCAACTGCGTCAAGCCGTTGCAATGCAGCGAAGCCAGAGGCCCCATACAGGAGAGGCAACGGACCTCTGTATACCTCAAGCTTCAAGGGTAGCAACTGAGGCTCCCGCTGCTGGGGCTTCGGCCGGCGGCGCGGCCGCAGCAAGTCAAGGCACTTTTCGACGGGTAGGCCTAACAGTATAGCGTTGCTTGCGAGCACTATTTGGTCGCCTGCAACAGGCACACCTCAAGAGCCAGCTAGCTCCCACGCCAAGCTGCGAATTGTTGAGCTGTGACGACCCTGCAAAATTATTACTCTTGATTTACCTGGAACAAGCCCCGCTTTTTCCGCCTTGCTGCCCTCCACCACATAGGCCACGAAAATGCCTCCAACTTCTCTGGGGTTGGAATCAAAGGCAAAGCCCCACGGCGCCTCCACTTCTGCCTTTCTAAAACACAAAGAGCAAAAACAACCAGCAAATGCAGCAGCAGATCAACTCAAACACATACACATACCATATACATTACAAAATCACGATTTGTGTTCCTCGTGGAGGCGGTGCGTAACAACATGTTTGTATCACCCCCGCTGCAGCAAGGACCTCACAAGTAAGCACGTCGCTTCTCATACAACTACTGGAGAACAATAAAGAGCAAAGGCAACGGCAACAAAGGCAGCGAAAACGATAACTGGCAGCCAGAAGGGAAGCACCAAGTGCCACAGCGCCAAACCCAGCAGCAGTAACGGCAAAACCAAAGGGCAACAACCACAGCAGCCCTAGCAGAGGAAATGGCCACGCGCACATTAATGTGGGCAACGCCTTTCTGAGTTCCTTTGGATCCATTCGAGCTCTAACAAGAGTGTTCTCGAGTGCCCTAGTGAGTTTGGGAGGGACTGCTGCTGCAGCTGCCGCAGCAGCGGCCAGTGTAGCGCGTGGAGCACTGGCAGCTGTGCCTGTTGCCGTTTCTGGCTCTGTAAATGCTGCTGTAGGACATGCTCTCAGATGCGACGCCACCTTGTAGCAGCAGTTGCTTTCCCAGAAGCGGCCTCGTAGCCGCAGTGAATGGCCCAACGTGCACCAGGCTAGAGGTAGCAGCGGCGCAGACTGCAGGAGGAGTACCACCGGCAGGGACCAAGCTACTAAAAATAAAGAACATTTGACTTCCAGGCGCAGGAGCACGGAGCAACTACTGCAAAACAAGCGAGAATACGACTCAGATAACAAACAGCTACTGCGCAGTGAAGACAGGCACCCGAACAGACGACGTTTGACACCGGCACAAATACAGAACTGCGGTAGTACAAACGGAGCAGATGCCTGCCAGAGAAATTAAGAGGCGTAGATAAAACAATAAAAAAGCAAGATGGCCCTCATCGAGACAAGTGGTTAGTGATACATAAAGTACACCACGAAAGCTGCACAGAAACATCCAGCAAAAATCAAAATTTGGCTGCAAAAGAGACACGACAGGCAAACGCAAGAACACAGACACGAAAAGGAACTAAGGAGACCAATGCGACGGGTTAAGGTACAGCAACACGAGCGGACTGCAAAGGACTACCCTGAGAAGGCAATACAAGCAACCAATTTGTGTGGATGAGTGCATATACACCTTGACTGCCTGCACCGCAAGTGGGAGCACGTCCTCGCCTGCCTTGTGCCGCAGTTTGGCTGCTGTCTCTGCACTGAGTAGAAAGGACCACAAAGCTCCCTTGCGCAAGGGTAAGGCGGCCCGGCTGCGCTGCAGTAGGAGCAGGTTCTGTTGCAACGGCTGCTGTTTCTGGTGCTCCAGCGCTGCTGCTGCTGTGCGGACTGCAAAGGCGCCATCAGGCATACGCGAAGCAGCCGGGACGACAAGGTCCGCTGCAGCAGCAAGGTCGTCAAGAGACCAAGCCAAGACACGACCTTTTTCTTTTCTCCGGATGCAGCTGCTGCTGCTGCTGTCGTCGCCATTAAGAGGAGCGGTTCCGCCGCGGTTCTCAAAGAGCACACGCACCTCGACTGCCCCGGCATCCAAAGCCTGCAGCATGGCCTGTTGCGGAAGCTGATTCTGCTTCCCTTGTTGCTGCTGCTCCTGATTCTGCAGTTGTTGCTCGCGCTGCTGTTCTAGCTGGTCTAGCGTGCGGAGCTCGTATGCCACTTGGACGTCGCTGTCACTACCCCACAGTAGGCACTGGAGAGCCTCCTGAACTAGAACAGCAACGGTAGCATGGCGGAAGGCATATACAATTTGAATGACGACTACCCATTCGTCATTTGCTGCTTCTGCTATTACTGCCGGAGAGCCCACTGTTGCAACTGACGGGGGAACCGAACTGCACGGCGGCACACAAAGCCGCGATGCAGCGAAACCTGCCGTGCTCATAAGTGCAGCAGTCAGGTCGGCAGTGGCCACAGCAGGCGGATCAGCCACAGGAGCACCAGCATAAGGCACCAAATTAACTGCGCCTGGGGGCCCGTAAGGACTGGAAGTGTTGCTTGGCACGCGAGACGTGCCCATCGCCACTATTGGGAAGGGACTTGATAGGGTGGGAACTCTGCGTGAAAATGAATGAGACGCAACGAGAACAGAGGAGTGGGCTATGAACGTACACGGAAACGCAACTGGCCGTGGCACTTCAGCTTGCATGGGCATACACCCACAACTCCTTGGCAACAACTGCAGCGACATGACACATCTGTCTTTCTTATTCACTAAGCACATGGCATATAAACAGAGGACGAAAAATTGGAATGGGCGCTTGAGGGCCACAATGCGCTGTAGCCCTAACTGGCCGTGCATCATTGCGGGATGCTTATCAAGAGAATGGCCCCATTTTTGTTGATTACAGACATGTAATGGTATTTGTTCCCTTTTTGAGGTAAAAAGCAAAATCTGGAACTTCCATTCGGAGAGGTAATGACGAAGGGCCCTCACTCGCGAGTCGGCTGCGGCCGTTTTGGCCCTCCTCTTTACAGCATGAGAAGAGGCTCACACAGCAGAAACGCGACAAGGAATGCGGCCGAAACAACGCCTCTAGTCAGACGCCTAAATTACATGATTTCGCGTTATTCCCGAAAATACAAGTGCATGAGCATTCATTTGTGCTCTCCATGCATACTCTTCGTATCAATCTTCGAGTTGTGGTGTTGGACACTATACGGTGAACCTCCTGAACGGGCCATTAAATGCAGAAGTGGTAGGATCTAGAACAAATACATCGGATTTTGGTTGGACGGATGGATCGCACGCAGTGTATATTTGGGTTTCCCACTGGTTGAATGTAGAGACGTGGGTGAAGTAACCTCACAAGAACGCAAGGGGTTTCTCCCTTACCCCAGATCATCAATTTTAGCAAAACAAGACTACAGAAACGACAACGTTCCGTACAGTATTTGAGCGAAATTCGTGCCGGATCGAGACGGGGGGTTGCTACCGTATATGCGATTCATGCTGAAGGGGTAACCTCAAATGGTCCTTATAAGGTGTTAACTTGGGTGCGTGGGCTAGGGCCTTGTACACTGGCATCTTCTTGCCATTAGCAAGCTGACCCTAGACAACGAAACAGGTACGTTTTAGACTCTTACGCCTGCAAGGGGCCTCCAGGCGCATCACTGCATACTCCCTGTGTCCCCATGGTGCCTTTATTATGAAGAAAGCGGCGGCCTGTTCATCCTGTATCCCAGCCACCTCTCTGAGTTTCCCCTAAGAACCAATGTGAGTTTCAGTAAGCTGTGGGACATGCTGCAGCAGTGCAGTAGCTAGGGTCGCAAGCAAGAGTCTACCCGCCTAAGCCTTTGAGTTCTGTGTTAAGTCCCGGCACATTACGTTTCCTTGGGTCAAATGTTTACTGTCGTGGCCGAGAGGAACACCGACCCTTCAGAATGACACAAGCACAGATGCATGGCAACACAACGATATAAACATGGTGTGCATTTATCCATGCCCAGGCACAACCACTCCCATCTACATCTCCTATCCGTGTACATTCACGTATACATACATTGTCCTGCATATGCATTCAATTGAGTCATGTGGGATTACCAGGTTTGACACTTGCCGAACCACGTGCGACACGGCGGAAGTGCGAATTAAAATAGACCATCTGCATGACTGTACAGAGATACAAATGCGACTTAATCCAGCGTGAGTAATCTTTTCAAATGAAATACTGGAGTCGTTTGTTGCACGAACGAGGCGACTGGCGAGCGCCAAAGAAGCGGCAGCCTACGATGAGCCAGGGTATCTAAGGGGCCTAGCGTCTTCAGCGCGCTTTGGCACAGGCAGGGAAGCAATCTTAGAGCGACTGCAGTCATACAGCTTGGCAGCTTTTGTGCTCAAACAAGGAATCCGGGGACAGCAGGAGCGATAGCCTCCCCACGAAGCAGAGTAGGTGTCCACTGCTCCAGCTGGTGCCAGAAGGTCCTGGAAGCGCCACTCAATGACCCAGTGTCCCTCTAAACAGTCGAGCAACCTCTGTTAAACAGAGGTTGCTCAACTGTTTAGAGCCTCTTTCTGAGACTATTTCGATTCTGACGAGGTTCTCTTGCATTTCCAACTATGGAGCAGCAGCCTAAGTGTTCCTGTCCCACCGATTCAAGGTGGAGTCGGCATGGTACTGATCAGTAGGGTTGCTGGCGATGTCTCAAACGGGAAGCCAGCCAACGGCTGCTTCTTTGACTACCAAATTAGGCTGTTGAGGACGGTTGGGCACAAGTTGAGGGGTATGAAAAATATCGTGAGGGGAGTAAATCGACGGCAATGCCACACACCACAGCACCGTAGCGATGTGCTCGGGGGTGAAAAAGGACCCACAGTAGCGCAAAACGAACTTTTATCATGCTCTGGGAGAGAGCAAGTGTGTGCTGTTTTGCCAGACCTTGTCACGAACAACGAACTGGCTTGCACGCCTTTTGGGGTCTGCTCAAGGGGCTTTTTGTCACTTTGCATGTAGAATATGCCTCTACAAGCACTCACAAAGCTGCCTAAACAGTTTAGTCCGAGGAAGGCTGGGGGTGGGTGCCACAGCACCAGAAATATCTGACTCATCTGCCGTCAGAGGGTTCAGGTCAACTGTTGCCTCAAACAGATAACGCCACTCGTCCAACTGGGCATATTTCCGAAGCACCTGTTCCAATGTGCTATTTTCACGTTCAGCCTACTCGTCAGCCTGAGGGTGGCAAGCACAATGCATGGCTCTCTTGATGTTGAATTCCGTGCACAGCTGCAGCCATTGGCAAGCCGGAGTCGAGTGTTAGAAATGACGACTTCAGGGATGCCATCAAATGAGACAGCCGGCAAGTAACTCAACGCTGTCCCCTGCTGTCAACGCGTTCCTAGAAACAGAAAAGTGGACAATCTTGCTCAGACGGTTGTTAATCAGTCAAATGAAATCCTTCCTAGTGTTTGCATTAAGGGGCAAGGGAGTCATTTTTCCAGACAGCTGCGACCCCATAGGCGACAGGGGCTGAATGACCATCGGGCGAGCCCGGCCGGTTTCTCTACCAAGGATTTGGAAACACGGCAATAAACACAAGATTATACATATGGAGTGGAGCGGGCACGCAAGCATGGCCTATAATAGTGCTTATTAAGAGCAGGGAAAGCTTTTCTCCTGTCTGCGATGTTTCGCTGTGACGTGCTCACGGTGACTATAAAGCACATGAGTCAGGAATTCAGGGAACTGAGGCATGCAAATCCGCAACATGCAGCTAGCAGAAGTTCGTTAGCAGTTGCGAAAACTGGCACCAGAGGAGTTCTTCAGCTCGTTGTGCTACTGCGAGGTACCGTTCGCGAAAAGCTCGGCACTTTGTGTAAGCTGAAGTCTAGGCTTGGGGAGGTAGAGAACTCTCGTTCTAGGCTTGGGGAGGTAGAGAACAATCGTTTTCAGTCAAAGGCGTTGGGGTCGGCGTTAAGAAGCGTTTCGGGTCAAATGATGTGAGGGACGTGCTTTGAGAAGGCGCATCTTGAACCCCAAGAGCAAGAGCAGTTAGTGGTGGATGAAGGCAATGGGCGAACGTGAAAACCTTGTGCGGATGCCTGCTAGCACTCGATATTCTGTCGGACTCCCTTTGGGGTCTCTCTCGCAAAGGTGCCAACATGGCGAGGACCGGGGAAGTGTTGGAAATCTTAGGAGGCTCACTGAGTGCACTTGCAGTAGGATCTTTGGGGCAGCGCAACGTTGCCTACGCCACCTAATTGCGTGCGCGTTGCAAGCACCTAAAAGTGTGGTGTTGGAGCTCGGCGAGGAAGTCAAGTCACCAAGGCTTCCATGAAGTCTGGGTGGCCAAGCAGGGCCAGTGACTTCTCAGTCCTGGGATTATCCACGTGTGACTTCATGCCATTCCGTCCCAAGGATGCCCCTCTACCTTCCAAGCTGAAGTAAATTCTTAGCTCCAGCAGCTACTGAGACAGGGTGTCGATGCTTATCTTGCTGGCCCGGGACTCGCTACCCATGCTTGGCTTCTTAAACAACTGCTCGGCATCTTTCTCGAGCACCAGTTCAACCCTATGTTCCGCAAGAGCCATTTCGCAAAGCTAAAACCTATCTCTCGATTGCAGCAACAGCGTTGAGCATAAAGTGCACGCAACGGGCATATTTGCGAGTGGCCAGAAATTTTGAATAACCGAGAGCAAGTACGCCGATTTCTCGGCATTGCAACTGATTTACGCACGCCTATGGGTTCCTACTATGCTGACGCATGTTGCTCTTTTGTCGATCTGACTAGCAACAGTACTACTTTCTAGTAGACAAAATTTTATACGCAAGCCCTACAGCGCCTTAAACCTGCGTTAATTATACCACTATGCAGGCTCCCCGCACAAAGACGCCTTTCAACATATATACCGTGGCTCAGCATACACAAGAGGAACGTTTCTAGGAAAAAAACAACAGCAAATCTGTTCACTTAGTCACGTCATGACCCCCACTTAGCAGAAATATTTCATTCGCGACCGGGATCTCCTCGCCTTGTTCACAGACCCTGATAGGGGATCACATTTACACTGCAATGGGAATGCAACAGCACACTTTAGCCGCCAGGCTGTTCCTCATTTACAGCAGCATATTATGTCTAAGCCCCTCTATGGCCGCAGTGCCGTGCTTCGAGGTCGAGCTTGCAAAACGCATTCAGCTCCCCGTAGGATCCTGTATATGGTTTGAAGGGGAGATTGGGGTAAATTAGTTGCAGCGGTAAGGGCATTTGCGGGTTAATAGTTGATCAACTTACTCATTTTCCGCTTTCCTGGACCATCTTCGTGCCTGCCAACCATGACGGTGAGAGCACATATGGAAAAAGTGGTCGGATTTATTTACCGACTCGTTGACTGCATAGGCATTTCTTGACTGTAAAAATCAAGCCGATCCGGTGACATGCGATGTATTGCTGTTTTGTTAGGTAGATGGAGTGGTAACAAGAGGATCTGATGATAATGCGGGCGCTTCAATGGTAGCCCTACGGGAAGGCCGCCTGATACTTTTCCACACTGTTGAACTCCAAATACCTGCAAAGATTCCTTCTGGGCCTCCTGCAACTGTAGCAGCTCGCCGAACAACGTATTGCTCTCAGTGGCAGCTGCCCATGGCGACTCGTCTTTGTCCCTGTCGCTCTCCCGGTATTCAATAAGGGTCTGGCTACAGTGCTCGACCCGCAGACATGGCAGAGTGCTCTGCCCCTCTTCATACAGGGGAGGAGCTGCTGGTGAACCTGCACTTGGTAAAGCCCGTATAACGTTCAAGACCGGTGACACTACATTCAAAGTCAAAGTGTTGCCCTTCGCCTGACGCAACAGCACACGCTGTCCTTGGCCCTGATATGTCACTTGTACCATTTGGGGGCATGGAGGAGGAACGTAGTGCACAGCACTACGCTCTTACGGACTGCAAGGGGTGTAAACGTTTCCATTACTGTCAACCTGGACACCTGTTGCGCTAGCGCGTCGTAGGCCTGTATTTCAGGGCTTCGTCCAATCTCCCAGTCTACTCCTAGGATCCAGTCATACGCTATAGGATGCACTAGAAAACTCTCCGATAAATATGCATTTCTGCAGTCCCTAGTAAGTCCCGTCACTAAGCAGTCGCTACATAGTTATTTTTCATTGGCTGCAGTGAGGCGGCAGGCCTTGTGTAAATGACGCACCATCAGGCTGAGCCGCACAGGAATGATCAAGATGATTAATTTGCGCGGCGCGCCCGTGCAGACGATCCCCTCAGATCAGTCCCCTAGTATCTGCGAAACGACCGCTGCTGTCATGCCCTCACGGCACATTGATTTCTGGGCGCGTCGGTTACCGTCTCCACCCTCACTTGCTCCCATCATCCCTTTGAAGTGGCTTCCGTTGCTTCAACGTTCATAGCATCGTGCATTCCGCTGCTGCAGTCGGAAACTCGTGTCTATACAATCACTATTTGTGGTGGCACCTTGCGCTTCTTCTGGGCGGGGTCTCGCTTTAACACTTCAGGGGTTCTTCTGTAGCCCTTTCCTGGTTGGCTTCCCTTCTCTCTTGCCAAAACAGCCTCTGCTTCCAGCTAAGGGAGACTTCTATGGCGTCAAGCGTTGTTCTCATAGCACCCAGCAGCCAATCTCCATGCCCCGTGTGCATAAGATGCGTGTCTTCGGCAACTTTTGGGCCTGACCGTTTGAACGCTGTTACTGTCCCATCCGCTTGTGGGGCCTGGGCGCACACCTCCTTCCCTGGTTGTAGCCTCACGACGGTTTCGGCGGTGTGCCACGATACCTACGTAATAATATGCACGTCCACATCGAACGCAGGTCTCTTCTGACCGGTGGACGCATTCGTCACGTGTGGGACATTCTTTAGTTCCATGCCTTTTCCCCTTGCTAGGACCACACTGGAACCGCCGGGTCGCGTGCCAGGAGTTGCTGTACTCTACCCCAGGTGGTTACGTAGTATCGCTGGCTCCTAGTTAATACACCCTCCAAAGTAAGGGCCGACTCAATTTGCCGTTTCCTCAAGTGCTTTAGCTACCCATGGGCCTTCCAAGGCTGCTAGTTCAGCCGCTGCCTCCTTCGATGCCATGAAGCCAGCAGTAGCATCCTCAGCCAGGGCCTGGTTTCGCTTGCGTAGCAGGGCGGCCAAGAAGTAATTCAATAGCTCTGCTGCTGGCAAGCTCACGTGTTGTGCTTGGGTGTGTTGGCCGAGTACACTCAATGGTTTTCTTGCCAATGATTCAGATTTTGCGAGTAAGCGCAGACCGATTCAATGTACATAAGCGCTGGAGCATATCACGCCGTGCCCTGTCTGTTATATCATTTCTGGTCCCCTTCAGGCAAGCCCAACATGCAGAAGTATCGCCTTCCAAATATTGCCCTAATTCGTCACCCTTGCAGCAATCGCCCACAACGAGGCTTATGAACCTTGTCTTCTTATGAACCTTGTCTCTATGAAGTTTACGAAACCTCGTACATTGTATCTCTTCTATGGTACGACTGCGTGCAAGTCCGTGGGTGGCTGTGTTGTCATGCTCATCTGCCCCTCAAGGTCTGAAAGACGCGTCGCCTCTCGCTCCAACGGGGCAATCTCTCCTTGGTCGAGTCCACTTGCTTTGCAGGTTCGAATGTCTGTCTGTTGCAGCAGCATTTGTAGGAGAGCAGCCGCGTCGTGGCAGCCTGAAACCATTGGTGCAGAAGCTGCCGTTTGCCCTGCTCGACAAGATTAGCGCATAGCATATATCGCGGGACAGCCTCCAATTGTAGTGTGCTAGGCGCAGAGCCCTACTTGGGACTCCTAGCTGCCCTCAAAAGCTGCACATATTGCTATTGTCCGCAAAGCCGCCAAATAAACATGTAAGAAAGTAATTCAGTTAGTGTTACTGTACGATTAACCCAGGAACATGCCCTGCGTGCTCTTCAGCGTCCCTCTACCATGTCACTGGACAGAGTGGCAGTGGTGGCGCCACCGAGCAGCCACTGCAAAACAACCCCAAACGTCTAAAGATCTAGAAAACTGGCGGCCACCGAGCCAGAACAAATGCACGCAAGCAAGGCACTGTTATGAAAACAAATACCTATTATTTCTGCCGCTAGCGCTACCGCTCGTGCTCCCGCTCACTCTACACCCAGGTCTGCAGATCTACCACAAAAGCCGAAACGCACTTTCCTGTGACGCGACGTTTTGGCTGCCAAGTCAGGCAAAAGCCTGCTGTAGATGCACAGCAAAGACAGCTTTTGCTGTCTTTACTGCCTCACTAAGTGCTGTACAGTTGCTGAAGCAGCTGCAGCTGCTAAAGAAGAGGATGCTACAAAGCGACGCCAAAACCTAATCAATCAGCTACATCTGTCGGAAAGCATCTGCATTCCATGGTGGCCGCCGGAAAGGTAATCTCCGTTGAATCTGCGTTGCAGCTGCACTTGCTACTACTGCAACAGCACCTTTGCAAATATGCAGACACAACAAGGCGATAACGATTATAACAAACCAAGAGAAAGACATAGGGGAGGCTGCTGAACGCAGCCGCTGTCGTTGCAGCACTGGCAGGTTACAAACTAGCAAATTGCTGCTGTAGCTCCCTCTGCAGTGCGAGCACCGCTTTCAGCAGCTTGACCTCCTGCTGCAGCACAAGAAACAGCAACAAGATGAAGACCAAAAGCTACTGCAGCAGAAGCACATAGCACACCTAGTAACAGCAACAAGGTCAGATCCTCACCAGCTGTGGCTTGACTTTCCGATAGCAGCCGTCGCAGCACCTCAAGTTCCGCCAAGACGGCCGCAGTGTGCTGCAGCAGACAAGAGCGTACAAGACCCGATTACAGCACCTGCAGCAATGGCGCTAGCAAGCGAAAGTAGATGCAGCAGCACACACGTCTGGCGCGAAAAAGACGAGCTACAGCAGTGTAGGCTGTGTAGGCTGACGTCGATGCGGAGAAGCAAGTATTCCGTCTGCCTCTGGTGCAGCTCTAGGACAGAGAGACGCCACTGCTTCCCAAGGTTGCGCCGACTGCAGGAAGCACCACAGCCAGCAGTGGCAACATGCTTCAACCGCAATAGCAGCACCTGGCAATCAGTACACAATCTCCACCTTCCCTCCTTTCCCCTGCTCGACGCCCAATGTCCCAACGCAGCAGCAACAGCAATCCAAACCAACCTCCTGATAAGTGACAAGAACCTTTTGTGGTTCTCATAGGAGCATCCGAGGGGTGGCGCCAGACGCGAAGGCAGGGGCCGCGGGATGCAGCGAGACAAATCCACTGCGTACTCTTCATCGGATTCCGCTTGCTGCCGCTGCTGATCGGTTTGGCCGCTGCTGCTGGTGTTGCACACTGTTGGCGCTGCTGGTGTCGCTGCAAACATACCACCAGCAGTCGAATCCAGAGGCAAGGACCCATTGACCTTCCCGCCGGGGCATTTGTCCCATCTGCTTCCTGACGTTTTTGAAAGGCCTCTTGCTGCTGGTCCTTCTGCTGGAGATGCCGCCGCTACTTGTACTACAGCTGGTCTGTGCGCAGCCTTTACTTCTGTGCCAGCCCCAGCTGATGCTACAGACACTTCAGGCTTCTCAACGCTGGGCGTCCCGCTGCCGCCGGAGATGGGAGGCTCGGCCTGATTATCGCTGCCGCCGCTACTTTGATTGTTGGTACTAGGGAAATGGTCGTGCTGTGTGCCGTTGATCAGAGGAGTAGCAGCGGCCGACGTGGTTGCAGTAGCCGGCTGCAGCTGCTGTGTCTGCTGGTGCGTCTGCTGTTGCACCTCCGCATCCCGACAGGCATGCGTAGCACCCGCAGGCGTTGTTGTTTCTGGGGATGCTGGACTGTTTGTTTTACTACTGAGCGCTGCTTTAAATTCATAAAAACACTGTTGCCTCCAACGCAATTTCTCCTCCCTGTTCACTCCGCTGTTGGTGGTGCTGCTGCTACAGCGAGTGCTGCTACCGCCAGCCCCAACAGCGCCGTCTCTGGCACTTTCTGAGCATGCCCTCTTCGTCACTGCTGCTGCTGCTGCTGCTGCTGCAGTCCGGAACTGTTCGGTAGGCTCGCATTCCGTGCTACCACTACTGTGCGTCATGTCATTGTTGGAACCGCAGCTGATACTGCTGCCGCTTCTTTCCTCTACTTCGCCGGCTATGCGAGGTCGCTTCCTGCTGCTGTTTCCAGGCTCTTCCGGGTTGACAGACGCGTCAGCGAGATGTGGTTCCTCAGCTATGCGCTTCCTGTCAATCGGGGCGGTGCTCCCCCTGCTGCTGCTGCCGCTGCTGCTGTCTATTGCTGACTTAGCCTCACCAGCCGACTCACGAACACTGCCGCTACTGCCTTCAGGTCTCCGCAAGCTTCTGCTAGTAGCGTCTGTATTGCTTTCTGGCTTGCTGGGCTGCCGTGTCAAGCTACTGCTTGCGCTGCTGCTGCTACTGCTATTGCTGCTGCCAGCACAACTACTTTTGCTCCAGCTACGTCTGCTGCCACTGCCGTCAGCATCAGCAGCTACCACTGGAGCTGCCTCTTGTGTCTTCTGTGGCTTGCCGTCAACTCTCATCGTCGGCGCAACGCCGGCTGTAGCCTCGCGTGGCTCTTTCCCGCCGGCGTCCCCGTGGAATTTGCTCCTGCTTGGAGTATACCTGACGCCACTTGCCTTGTTGTCTTTATATTTCGCGTCGCCATCGCGCAACCTGCTACTCCTGTTGCTTAGTTCTGCTCCAACCGCAGCATTTGTTGCTACCATTGGTCGGTCCCGCATCCTGTGCTTCTGCTGCGCATGCCGTCGCCTGTCCAGTGATAAGTCGCGCCGCCACTGCTGCTGCGGTCGATTCCCGCTGCTGCTGATGCTACTAGGGGAAACCGAGCGACAAGAGCTGACACTCCTGCTGCACCTGTTGCCACGCCGTTGCATCAGCATCATGTGATGCTGCTGCTGCCACGCTTGTTGGCACTGCCGTTGCAGCATCTGCTGCTGCTGCGCATGCCACCTGCCGCTGCTGTGGGGACCTGAAGGATGCATGAGTAGCAGCATCCCCCGCTGCTGCTGGTGCCAGCGCCGTCGTGATCGGGATTCACATGAAGACGCAGCAGAGACATCACTTGCTCTCGATAAAGATCTTCTGAATGGCCCCTCGGGTGGCCTGCTGCGGCTGCTGGCGGCTGCGGCTGCTCCACCAGCACGATCTTGCCACGAGCGTCGTCTGCGCTGTTCCTGCTGCTCGTAAGAGCAGCCTGCATCATCTCGCGGCGAATCCGATGCTTCATTCACACTTATTGTGCTAACGCTTCGGCTCCGGCTCCTGTGGCAACAGCAGCGGCAGCAGCAAATGTGAGGCGAAAGCAGCAAGGACAGAAACAAACTGTGTCAGAGCGGCGGCAGCGGTGGCACGAGCAGCACGCCTTGCAGCAAATACTTCCCAGTACCATCGAAGAACACGAACATACGTTTGAAAGACTTCCACGCACCTGTCCCTCTCAATGAACGATCCGTGTCGCAAAGACAGGACTGAAGAAGCACCTCTACTGGCCACATAGCTGCCGTTGCTGCGGCTGCGACTGCTGCTGCTGCTTCTGCGGCGGCCGAGCCAAGCAGAAGGGTGCCTACTCCGTACGTCCGCGTGGTACTGCTGTTCTTGATGCACATGCAACTGCTCTAGCGGACTCTGTGGCATTCTCCGCTGCAACAAACGCAGTGGATGTCCTCTGTGTCCCGAAGGAACACCCGCTCTCTCCCCGCTCCTTCCGCAATACGCCATTCGCATAAGGGGATGTCCAGGGCTGTCACTGCAGCGACGCATCGGGTAAATGGGAGCCCCAAGAGGAGGGCCACCGGGGTAGCCCCCATAATGATCGTATGGGCCATCTAGAGGAGTCCTAGGGCTCCCCCTATCACTAGGCGCAGGGGGAAGGCGCTCTGATATCCCACCACCATCGCGGGGGCCGGCAGACTGCAACCATAGCAGTGGCACCAGGTTACACCCACACATGAAGGCAGCAGCACTGGGACTCCGTTATGAGCTACTACGGCTGTCGCAGCAGCCACAGTTGATGGCAACTGCAGCAGCAACGGGCAGTGGGAGCTAGAAATATGGGGGGCTTCGCGCTATGTGACAACGGGCGGTGGAAGCTAGAAATATGCGGGGGCCTCGCGCTATGTGACAACGGGCGGTGGAAGCTAGAAATATGCGGGGGCCTCGCGCTAAGTGACACCTATGTCACTTGCAGAATCTGAAATCGCGGCAACAGATATGGCAGCACGACAAACTCAGCAAGAGCAAGACAAGCCTGTACGGGCATTACCCAGTTTGCGTGGGGTGAAGGACGTCGCTGACGGTGAGGCTGGCGCGGTCGCATGCCCGATGCACAGAAATACGAGTCCAGGAGAAGCCCAACGACAAGACTCAATGCTTACTTTCCCGCATTGAACGCAGCGTACACTATAGGCGGCGCGAGCCCCCATGGGGGGTCTCATCTATCAGCGCCCACGATATGCGTATAATGGATAGCAGCAGAAGAGCTAGCTACCGCTGAGGCTGCGAAAGCAATACGCCTGTCCTGATGTCGCTTTGAGAAAAGCTTGGTTGCCTTTCTACTCGCTTGAGGGAACAGGAGGGGAACTACGTGCCTCCCGCTGACACTGTTGCTGCTGCCGCCACTGCTGCTGTTGCTGTTGTTCATAAAACCGTTGTGGCCGGTTACGCGTTGGTGCGGTGAAAAGCGTTGCGCTATTGGGTCCGCTGTGAAGAATTTCTGCGTGCAGGCATGAGACGGGAGAGAGCGCGCTTGAAGCAGATACCAAGATAAAAAGTGAGGGCTGAAGTTTCAACATACAAAAATCACTCCTCTATCATCGCCCTCAAGTTTACTGCTGATTGCGTTAGTGAAGTTACTACGTTTTCCTCCTGCGGCTAAGTAGGGATTTGGTTGGCTGGGGCTGTTGCTGCTGAAGCCCTTGCAGCTGCTGCTCGTGCAGCTTCTCCCCGCTTGCACTGGCGGACTGAGAGGTGGTTCCTGTCCCTGTGGCGTTGCAATTCATGCTTACAACAAAAAAATCGCGAGCAAAGTATTTAGTTTCTTTATAAAGCTGCTTTGTGGGACCTTAATTACGCAAGCATCTCCCCACAAGGTGGAACCAGAGGAGGGCGTGGCGTGGGCTTCGCAGGCAGCAGGTCTGTTCGCTTGCTTCGCGGTTTGGTTAGGCTCTTGCGAGCGTGACCTATGTTGTTGACCGTTTTCGCCTCTTCATATTTTTAGGGCTTATCGTCTTTTCTCAAGTCGATTCTGCAGTGTCTTCTGCCCGTTTTGGTTGGTGCTAATCGCGTATCTGAGCGACGGACGGTGGCCTGCGGGGACCTCTGTGGGGTACGCAACTGTAAATACAGGGTGGGCATAAGAACTCCAGGTGCAGGACTAAGTTTTTTTTTTTATATTGTGAAGATGGATGCTACCGATTCTGTAACAACGAAGTCAGGTGTTTGCGGCGTGGAGGTGGACTCTGGCATAGTGCCAAACTCTTCGAAACGGTCCTTGGGCTTTTCACTTGGCCGCATCATCCCGTCATATCCTGTGCGTGTGGCGATGCACGTTTTAAGTTTATTGGCGGTATGTTTAGTGGCTGCGAACTCGCTCACCGGCACAGCAACGATACGTGGGTCATTCTGCAACAACACCGACATTGCACTGCCTAAGAAGAAGGGCTCGATCAACTTGGGGCAGCTCATGACTCTCTCGTTCGTCGCTCCATCCTTGATCATCATCTTGGTTGAGCTGCTTATCGCTGTGGTGAGGGTGACTGAGGATAAGGAAGCGCGGATGAAGAGCAACGTGACTATGTTTGGCTGGACAGTGCCGCAGTACATTGTGGATATGTACAAGTACTTGGGTGGGTTCGGCTTTACTATGGCCACTGCATGGTTGTTCGCGGATTCTTTGAAGTGCTTCGTTGGTTCTCTGCGCCCTCACTTTTTCGATGCTTGCAAACCTGATTGGAGCAAGGTTAATTGCAAGGGAGAGAACGGGGAGTACATCTATGTCGAGGACTTCCACTGCACGAATGACCCTCACAGAGTCGAGGATGCCCGCCGGTCTTTCCCCTCAGGTCACAGCACGTACACCATGTGCGGCATGCTTTTCGGGGTCCTCTACTTGCAGGCTCGTTTCCGCTGGCACCAGCGTCAAACTGCCCCTAAGCGCCGCATGAGAAAGGACCAGGGTGCATTTGGAGCCTTCGTCGAGCAACTTTTCTGGGTGGCACAGGCCCTTGTTCCGATTCTTCAGGCAATGATGTTGCTGTTGGCCCTCTATGTGCCAGCAACTCGTGTTCTGGAGCACTTCCACCACGTCCGCGATGTCTGCACTGGGATGCTGCTCGGTGGCTGCGTCGCCATTTTCGGGGCCTTCTTCATCATCGATTTGAGGGATTGAGGGATTGATATGAGAAGCACGGCCGCTATTTTTCCAAGTACATGTGGTACAGAGGCTGTACTATGTCTGATGCATAGCAGATGCTTATCTGTCCTCCATTTTTTTGTGTAATGCATCATGATGTGGCACGCACGTTGTGCGTCCTAGGCTTTCAGACTTTTTCTGCTCGTTCCATGGGCATAATGCTGTGCCGGCGGCGCCGCGCATGCGGATTTATTTGGAGTCCGTCATTCGCGCAGCATCGGATGCGTTGCATCTTGTAGTTTTGCGTATGAATCGTTGTCAAGATAGAGGGCCCTTCCCCTCTGTAGGCGAATTGTCCACATTTTTTTTCCAGCCGATTGGCAATGAACATGCAGTTTTTTTTTGTAGGCTATGGGAAGCCTTTTTGGCGCCGAAGCAGCCAACGCCGGGCCAGCTGTTTTTATACGAACCAATTTTTTTCTGACTTTCTCAGCGCTTTTTGTTTTCCTTGTTGCGGCTGCAGTAGGCAAGGTAGTTTCGGTCTTGAAATGCTCGTTCTCAGTATCACAGTTGCTGCTGTAGGCAGGGTATTTCTGGTCTTAACTGGTTTTAGAGACTTTCGGGGCGTTTTCTACCCAGCTGTTACCCTCAGCTAATACGCTTTCCGTAGTGATTTCTAGCGTCTGCTATTGCTCTTTGAGTTTGTAGACTTTAGGCGGCGTACTGTTCTCAAGGGTTCTTGGAACTGGGTGTACGTGATGTGTGGCGTCTTGGCGTCGCTTGTGCGACAGTGACTGCCGTAGGGTGGCGTCTTGGCGTCGCTTGTGCGACAGTGACTGCCGTAGTTTATATATATCTACGTTATGTGCGTTGTGTACCTTGCGTCGCACATAGGTGGGCCGTAAAGACACGCCGAGCATGCATCAAGGGGGAGTGCGATGTTGTTTATACTGCCTATATGTGGTGTATATGCATGGAAACAATTTAGATGATGTAAAAAGCACTGGAGAAACGTGGAACAGTAATGCTGACAGTAATGCTGCTTTCTGTGGTCCATGGGCTGATCAATAGCATTAGTGAGGTATTTGAGTAGTAGTGGCTGGTCAGGGTGCTTTTCAGTGTATACCAGTGGAGAAATTAATAATGCAAACTCTAGTTTATACATTTGCAGTGTCATACGGCTGCATCCTTGACCGCACTGTTGCGGTGCTTGACTGGTGGTCCGGCAGAAGAAAACTGTGACGTTCGTGCTCATCACTGTTCCGTTGTTCTCTAGAAAGTTTATATCTTTGGGTAGGTATTCAACAGAGTTTTACATTGTTTTCTTGTTGTAGCTTTCCTTGGGTAGGCCTAAGACACTTGCTCAGGGCTGCTTCACCGAAAGGTGAGCGTGGTTTGCAGTGTTCGTCCACTGCTTTGGACCGACTTGCTGAGAAATAGGACAACAACGGGAGCTTTGGCGGTACTTTGAACACAAAATGAAGAACTTTTAAGCCTGGAATTGCTTCGGGCGTATTTAGTTCATCCGTTTGCGTTTTATGAAGGCTGGCGTGGTTTCCGAGCACGGGTCGGCCGCCTCTATCTTTTTAACGTTGGAAGTTGTTCGAATGTTGTTTCCCTTTCATCTGAATGCATAACTTGCAGATGCGTTGATTTCTGTGGCAATCCAACACATTAGTGGTCAGGCCCCTGCGAGGTCATTCGTTTTTTCACTGGCAGCTCGTGATAACAAACTGCTGCGGCGCAGTGATGGTTTTGCACGAGCCTGATCCCACGATAACTTACTCCATTGACATTAGAAATGGAGGTAGCTCTGTTGGGCGCACCCAGGAGCTTTCGTTGCCCCCCGCCCTTGACGCCTCCACTTCACTTTCTTCCTCCCCTCAGTTTTCGTGTGCTCCCACTCGGCAGCGTCGTCGCCCGTACTTTTTGAGAATTTGCATTCACCTTGTGACATGCATTATCCTCCTGGTCTGGTCTCTTGTATTGTTGCCGAAGCCACCTGTAGTCCGAGGGGCTTTTTGCAACAACACTGAAATATCGGCTCCATACCAAAAGGAGTCGGTGTCTTCCCTTGGAGTTTTCGGTATTTGTTTCGGTATCCCATTCTTCCTTGTAGCCACAGTTGAGCTGCTTTTTTCTGCTGTCCGCTCGACTCGCGAAGAAAGTCAGGAGGAAACAGGCGTAACGCTCTTCAACAGGAAGCTGTCGCGGACGCTTGTTGATCTCTACAAATACTGGGGAACCTTAGCTGTCTCACTTAATCTTACTTTTTTGTTGACAAATGCGCTGAAGGCGGCGGTCGGGTCACTGCGCCCTCACTTTTTGGACGTTTGCAAACCTGACTGGAGCCAAGTGGCTTGCAAGGACTCCACGGGCGAGAGATATGTGTATGTTGACAACTTCCACTGCACCGGAGATCCAAAGCTCATGGAAGAAGCCCGGCGCTCATTTCCGTCAGGCCACAGCAGCTGCACCGTGTGTGGGATGCTGTTCGGTGTGCTGTACCTACACTTCAGGTTCTCAAGCCAAAGACAGTCCACAGGCCGCTGTAGTGAGGTGCCTCTGAAGCGTGGTCGAAAGAGTGCCATTGTGGAACAAGTCTATTCGGCGTTTCAGGCACTGGTTCCGTTCCTGCAAGCCATAATGCTGCTAGTTGCTTTGTATGTACCAGCAACTCGAGTGCGGGAGAACTTCCACCACGGCAGGGACGTTGCTGCGGGGATGGCAATCGGTGTTCTTAGCACACTCTATGGCTTTTTCCTTGTCTTGAATGTAAATGGTCGTTAGTGTTGTTAATTTGCCCGCTTGCCGCCGTGCAGGCGCCCACCAGGACAGGTACTGTACATTTGGTGCAAAGTTAACATCGAAAGAATGCGCCTGTTGGCGTGAGATGTTCGGTCGCCGTCCATGGCGTTTTGCGGGGGCTTTTTGCGCGGATTTTTGTGAAGGCGCGGGCTGAATGGTTCCGGTTCACGTCAGCTTCTCTGCTGAATGCGGCAGGGACTGAAATGTTTCTTTGAGCACCCTTCCCATTAATGTGTGCATGTGCATTGTTGCTCAAGGGGGAGTGGCAAATAGGTGACATAACCGTAGTGGGAAGCCAGCCAGGGGAGTCAAGGAGCCTACATTAGCCTCGACCCAGTGCTCGGATGACAGTAGTAGACTTTGCAGTCACCGTAGACAGTGCACATACAGAACTTGGAAAGTTTTGTTTGCTCAGTCGTAACTGCAGAGGTCTTGCGGATAAATTGGCAGGGAACCTCATTAAAAATGCATTGTTGCGTCGTCTGTCTGCCACATCAAACCGATTGCGGGCAGCAGCTCGACGGGCACGACGCTACTCTTCTTGTGGGTTACTTGGCCAGCATAAGCAAGCAGTGCATTACTTTATTGTGACGTAGTGCCCTGTGAACGCTTCTGGACGAAGGCGTACAGCTGGTTAGTCACTGATGCAGCTGGCAAGCTTCCATCGATGCGCTGAAGCAACCCTTGCTTCTCGTAGCGCTGAACGAGGGGCAGTGTTTGTTGTTTGAACACCTGCAGACGCTTCCGGAGGGTCTCTTCATTATCATCCTTTCTCTGAATCAGGTCCTCGCCAGTAACCTGGAAGGCAAACACAAAGCACGGCAGGTGGACCTTGCATGAGAGAACTGCAATGCGTATGCTAGGTTTTGCGCGTGTCTCCTGCGATCCAAGTTCGTTCCTTATCTCATCATTTGATGAGTCAAAGCATTCCTTTCCTATGAAGAAATGCTCTGCTCCTTATCGCGCCATTTGGTGAGTGAAAGCATTCCTCTCTTATGAAGAAATGCCCCAAAAATTAATGGCCAGCTTTCGCCAACAAACATATAATCATGCAAGAAGAAAACTGTGCTCCAGTTGAAGCACTCACATCATCTTTGCCCGGGACTTTCGGAGGATGGAAGACAGTGTGGTAGACGCGCCCACTGGGCGGGTGAACGCGGCGCCCACTGATCCTCTCGATCAGGACATCTTCTGGGGTGTCGAAGTATACGACGCCATCAAGCTTCTGTTTCTGGGAGGCGAGGAGCTTGTCTAGCTGCGAAACAAGACACAGAAGGCAACAGAGCCATAAGCTCCCCTGTGGTTGCCGGTTTACAGAAAAGTCTGCTCCGCGGAGCTAACGGCACATCAAGGCAGCAAACAACCGAAAATATCACACGGGGAAGGCACAAGTTCAGTTGGACACTCTCATTCGCTCTCTGTTGCTCTGAGCGCCGCATCGAAATTCCAACTGCAACCTAGCAGAATAGGCATCCAGAGAACTTGAAAAAGAGATATGCACATCGATTAGTGTTGCGTAATATGTCGTAAGCAGCCACGCTTCCGTGCGGAATGCTCACAGCATCTGCCTGTTCCTGATTCCTCGGGTATCCATCCAGAATAAAACCCCGAGCGCAATCCGGGCTCTTTATTCTTTCAGAGAGCAGCTCTAAAACTAGGTCGTCCGGAACGAGCTGGCCGGCGGCCATGATTCCCTTTGCCTTTTGCACATTCGCGCAAAGCAAACGCTGAATGCTTGTCTGAAATTTGCGGGCATTCGTTTGTAACCAGTGTATGGTGCATGAAGACTTGTTGACTGCACTTGGGTGCCATGCAGTCAACCGTATGGTGCTCTGTTTAAGCAGTATCCAACAGTTGTTCAACTAAAGGTTCGAATGAGACTAGCTGACTGCACTTGGGTGCCATGAAGTCAACCCTACGGTGCTCTGTTTAAGCATTACCCAATAGTTGCTCAAATAAAGGTTCGAACAACAGGGAAATCGAGGGCACAGTGCATGCAGTTGCCGCAGCTATTTGAAACCCGGTAACACCCAGGCAGGTCTTACCTTTTGCCCGAGCTCTGTACCCGCCGCTACAGCGTCGCGGAGCATGTCACCCGTTGAGATGTGGCAGTAGCAGTGAGTCTGCTGAAGATTCGCACTCTGTGTGCCTTTTCCCGAGCCTGGGGCACCTAGAAAGACGTATCTGAAAGCAGCACAAATGGCAGAACCCCCAATTTGCCAAGTAGAAGAGAAGGCATTGCTTCTGTATCCCAGCTCGGCACCTCGAGTGAACTGTCCCCTCCCCTCGCCCATTAATTTCTTTCCTGTGGAACTGAAAATCGGGTGAGCAGCGATAAGCAGCCACTCTCCTACCGCCCTTCAGGCTTCGACAAGCAGTTATATCTCCGCTTGAGTTCTTCAAGTAGATCAGCCGTCGAGACTTTGTCTAACGCGGCGGCAGGGCTTGCCATTTTGTCGTCGCTGCAAACGCAGCAGCGACAGAATCTTCTCTTGATAAGGGAAAAGACAATATGAACCCCATATGGAGAAGAACTAGTAACGATAAGGACGCCTCACAGGGGTATACATCAAGGAGACACCGGAAACCCAAATTGGGTCTCCTAGCGACTGTTGAGACTCTCGCTTCATTTTAAAAGACGTTTACAAGGCAAATGTTCTACTTGAGACAAAAAAATCATAATAGACAGCAGCCGCTCTCTACGAAAAAGCGTATTGCACAAAGCAATCATCGAGGCAGTCTTTAGCGTGCGGGGAGGTTCTGCATTACCTATAAGGAGTTTCCACCTACAAGACGTCACAAGAACTAAAATAAACGTATTTAAAGACTTAGTTTTAAAGCGTTCAAGGCAGCAAAGCGGGACTCTGAGCAAAAAGGGCCCCAAGACCTACCGAGGGCCCCGACCTTGCGCCGTGGCGCGAATGCTGCATGCATTATTTTGTACGTTTAAGTCTACAGCGCCTCCGGGTTTATGGCAGGCTCGAAAAATTTGCACAAGTATATTTAGAGGGGCGCGTAAGCGTGGATATACAGTCCCCACTACACTGCAACTTCGCCGTCTATCTTTCTAGACTAACGCCCTGTTCCCCAAGCAAGTATACCGTAGTCAGTGCCCCTACAGTTGCATTTGTTTGGGCGTCTTTGAATTTGTCCTTCATGTGCCGAACGTATGCAAGTTTCTTCACTAGGCCAACTTGGGGTGCCGTCCGGCCCCCGCTCTACTGAACGAACTGAATTGAGAATATTAACTGAGCCGCTTAAAGAACGAACAAAAGAAAGCTCGCATATATAGGTATATGCGATACCCACCATCTCAGGGTTACTTCTGGCCATGTGCAGCCTGTTCCAGTAGCTAGAAAGCCTTGCATGTTTTCTCAAGCCCCAAACAATCCGCAGAAGTGGATATATTCACGCAGCTGTCACTGGCAAGCCCTTCACTACTGCTAAACTGCATCGGGAGACAACAATGTGGGACGAATCAGAAGAGCAGACATCATGACAACTGGCTGTACTGCGTTGACGTTGGTGTTCTTAAACTTCAGTGTTTCCGTTACTGAAATTCTCCACCTGCCTCCCTCTCTTCACTCCTATTGCTGCTCTACCAGTGCAACAACAGCTACACCACGAGCGCCGCTGCTATCTTTTGCAGGACGCCGTCATACTGGGAAAAATGGGTTCAGTTGTTGCTTCGTTCACTGCCGCAGATGATGCATTTGCTGTTACTGCTGCCGCTGTGTTCGCTGGCAGCACCCAGCTGCCCATGCTGCAATCCTAAGGGTAGTTGTTGCGAAGCAGAATGAGACGAAAAAGAACGAGCAGCGCAAGAGGTGAGGCTTAACTGCTGCAGCTGCTTTTGGCGCTGCAACGACTGCCCGTAGCAGCCATGGCCTTTGAGATCCGTGGCTGGGTCCAACTGGGGAGGCGAGAAGTTTCGCCGTTCCTCTCCAGATGTCTCCTGGAGTGCTTCCATGCTGCTGCAGCTGATCTGCAACCGACAGAACCAGAAGTAGAGGCAACGGCAGGTAGAGAAGCGCACTGCAGATGGCACACAACACTGTCCAACTCGTTGGGCCGTAGGGAAAGCCGAGGGCTTCAAACAGATAGTACGGAGATGCTTCCTCCCGCAAAATAGTGTTCACGGCAGCGCCGACTCCAAGAAATGCGCAAAGCAAATCTAGCCACGTCCTCATGCTGCGGGTTGTGCCCCTGCTGATGCTGCTGCTGCTGCTGTCGGCAACATTTAATTCTGCTGCACTCTTTGGGACCCCGCGGCCAGCATCGACCCCGGCCCGTTCCCGCGGCTCATTTTGGTTGCTTTGCTCGCCTGTGCTGGTGTTGCTGGCTGCTGCAGCGCCAATGCCCTGAACTATCCGCATACGCTGGGCTTGTCGCGCCAGCAGACGTTCCTGTCTTGCTGCTGCCCTCTGACGCAGGAGGGCAGTCGCGTCTTGCTGCTGCTGTTGCTCCTGTGACGCGTCCGCCGGAAGTGAATCAGTCTTCGGCGCCTCCATAACTGCAGTCAGATTGTTTTGGAGACTGCTCTGGGCATGTGAGTTGGTGTCGGGCGCGGCACAGGCAACACCAGGGGCAGTAGCCAGAGCAGGCGGGGCGTTACCCACTAACAGGCACACTGTAGGCCTCTCTGTTAGAGAACAGACGCATGAAGCTCCGGAAATAACTAAAGCCGCCTGCGCCTTCTTCTAAACAAGCCCTGCATGCCGAGGAGCAGCAGCAGCGGCCGCTACTGATGAGGCTGCTACAGCTGCGGTAACGCTGGCCTCCTCCTTGCACTTTATTTCTAGGAATTGTGTTACATTCATGTAGTTTTTGTAGATTCGCAGCAGCAGCTGCTGCTGAACGGCCTCTGCTGCTCGTGCAGTAGCAGCAAGAGCAGCAGCAGCAGCATCAAGTCAATGATTGGCCTGAGCTTCGCCATTTTTCCGGCACCACTTGATGGCTTTTATTGAATTTTATGCCTGTTTATTTGCTCTGTGAATCCAGACGTGACCTCGGTCCCGCTGCAGCAGTAACAGCTGCAGCAGGGGCAATGGCTTTGCAACAAGGCCAGGTACCTACGCCTTTTTTCCTACCGTTTCCAAGTGCTTTCGCTGTAGGATCTGACCATTGAATACACCTAGCAGAGGCATCAGCTACAGAACTTCAGTAGTACGCACGGCAACTAACGCCGACATACTAGAAGCTACTGCAGAAGAAACTTCATTTTCGGCGGAAACTTCCAGACGCCAGAGGACTCTGCCCAGTACTAAAACAGTTTATGTAATGCAAACGCGGAAGCGAAGGAGCGCGCAATGCACAGAAGCAGCAGTAGCGTGCGCGGGGTCGTGAACAACTTCATAGTGAGGGCCGGGTTTGGCAACAGCAGCACGAACAGCAGGATCAACAGCAGCAAGCGCAAATGGGGTCCGCGCTGAGTACCGGGAAGCATCCCCTAATAGATTCGTCTTTGGTATTTCCAGCCCCCCCATCTTCATACAGCTGCAGCAGCGATGGCTTGTTGCTGCTTCGTTCCCGGTTTGCTATTACTTCGGGATCTCCTGCGGCAGTGCCAGCGTTCCTTGTGGTTCCTTCTCCACAGTCTCACCTTAAGCTTGCTGCAGCCCTAAGGACAGCTCGACTAGCTGCTGCTGCTGCTGAAGCAGCAGTCGCTGCTGCTGCTGCAGCAGGTGGCCTCCCTCCCCAGCAGCAGCCGCGCCGTCGGAGCAATATAGAAGGGATATGCGCACCTCCAGCCGCAGTGGCAAGGACAGAGCTGAGTGATGGAGAAACCGAGCGGCAGCAGCAGCTGTTCCAGCAACTGGAACAAAGGAGGAAGGAGCTGCAGCAGCACATGCTAGTGCTGCAGCAGTTGCAGCGAGAGCAAAGGCAGCAGCGGGTCCTGCGCCGCAGACAGACGCGCAAGGCCTTGACTTCACAGGCTGAAGAACCAGCAAGTACGGCAGCAGAAGCAGAAGGTGGAGAAGCAGAAGCAGCAGCATCGGTAGTCGCTGCTGCTGCTCTTACAATCAATTCAGCAGCGGATACTCCTGTTTCTCAGAGGGAGTCATTCCTTCTCTCAACAAGTTCAGAAGCAGGGGAAGCGAGCGCAGCAGCAGCAGGTGACGCAGTGTTGACAGCAGGAAAGAGTGGCAGCTACTGGGACACAGAAGCCACGGGAGGCGGTGGAGGCAGCGACTATTGCATTCTTTACTTCCATGGAAACGCGTGCGATGCCAACATGGTCCGAGGGTGGCTGCAAGTTGTCGCAGACGAGGTGCTCATTTGCAGCTGTTGCCGCTGGTACTGCAAGTGCCATTACTGCTCGCGCCGCTGTTGCCGTCGGCAGTAGTGCTGCTGCTACTTCGGAAGCTTGCTGTGACACTGCTTTTACCAGTGCTGTTGGAAGCTCATTCATCTGGACTGAGTGCGTCTTTGGCTCTCTCTGTCTCGGTGCCTGCTGCTCCCTATATTTTTGTTTTCTCTAACAAACACACGCGTTGTTCTTGTGTACGTTCTTTAGTTGGGCATCCCTATTCTGGTATTTGAATACCCGGGCTATGGCCTCCTCTCGGGTATTGCGTCTTCTTCTTCCGGAATCGACCGCTGTGCCAAGGTCGCTCTGGAGTTTCTCGTAGAGCAGCTACAGTTTCCCCCGGAAAAGATCATCCTTTGTGGCCGGTATGAACCATCAGCCCTAAAGAGCCAGCCTTCTATCCTAGAGCACTAAACTAAACAACCAAGCCCTTTACTGGGAGTTCTCGGCTCGCTTTTACGCTAAAGAGCGACATTTTACCGGACAGCAGAGGGGCCGCAAGCCACTGGCTTAGATCGCTGCCTCGATTTCAATGCTTCAAGGTTTATGGCACTTTGCATTGACCTGGAGGTGTAGCGCTTAGGGTTTGCCTGCAGGTCTATAGGGACAGGCCCTGCTGCTTTTCTCGCCTCTCGCTTGGCCAAGTGCAACTTGCAGCTGGGCGGTCTCGTGCTCATATCTCCTTTTGCGTCCATGGCGGTAAGAACCTGTGTCACAGACGATTACAGGCAGCTAGCGGGCGATCGCTCATACCAGGTGCTATTCCATTTAGCTGAAGACAATCTGCCCATTGGAAGACGCATTTGACGGCTCTTCGGCGTTTTATAAAATGTCAAGACACTTAAAAATTAGAAAAGTCTGCCTCTCTGTTAAGAGGCATTTGCTTTCATGTGAGTTCTTATTCTTGTACACTGTCACTGCAGGCCCTTGCAGCCGATATGGCGGACTTGCCTGAACCGTTGGCACGGCTGGTGGTGACTCATCATTGGGACACAGAGGCGGCCCTGAAGCAATGTCAGGGGCTTCCCCTCTGCGTCATTCACGGACAGGAAGTCAGCGCTTTTGTTGCTGAATCTGCTGGTGCCGCTAATGCCGCTATCTGACTTGATGCTGCTTCTCTTGTTTCGGAATGTGCTTCCACTTTGGTTTCACAGCGTCGCGTCTGAGCTCGCGTCTTCGTCAGGTTTCTACTTTGAAACAGTTTCTGTTGGTTCTGCTGATGCTTTCTCAGGACGAGATAATTCCAGTGTCACACTCTCGCCGTTTGCTTTCGAGTGCGCTTCACGCTGCTGCCCTGCGAGTGTCTCATCTTCCACCTCATGCGGACCATTCAATTGGCTTAGAGCCTGCTGGTGGGTCTTGACTGCTGCTGCTGCTGCTGCTATGGCTGGATGTATTTCTGCTGTGGGAATGTTCACTTCTCTAGTAGGCTGGCTGCAGCATTGTGAACTAAACCAGCTGTTAAGCGTCGGTTGCTGTGATTGTTGTCGTTTACTAATGCAGCAATGAGGGAGGAGGTACTGCAGCCGCTGCAGCTATTTCTCCGTAAGGTTCGGTGTGCTGCTCGCCTGAGGAGGCAGCAACAGCTTCACCACAAGAAACACCTTGAGGCACAAGCAAGGAGAGCAGCAGCAGCGAATGCAGCAGCCACTGCGGTTGCGGCTGCTGCTGCTGACTCCCTTGTGGGTCACCTCCAACCCCAAGTATCCCGGCTGCTTCGTGAAAGGACCAGCTGCGTTGGCAGATGGCAATCTCAGCAGCAGCATGAGGGGCAGCTCAAGCACCAGCAGCGACAGCAGCAATGTGGTAAGGCAGCATCAGTAAGTTGCGACGCGGTGAGGTATTCTTCGAAGACCTCTGGTGCGCAGAGCAGCACAGATAGGAGCAGCAGCAGCACTAAACGATGCTTTTCAGTAAAAGGTCGCCTGACGAGCCCGCTTACTATGCAGTCAGCTGCATTCTCACTGCACCACCGGCCTCAACACTTGGAGCACATGCAACAGCAGCAGCCGTTGCGCCGCCGATCCTTGAAGCTTGTTCGTTCGAGTATGCTTGAAGTAGACAGCAGCAGCACGGACGATGATATTGTAGAGGAAAATATTCCGCAGAAGGAGCATGGGGACAAAGATATACTTGGATCATCGTCGCCAGCATCTCACACAGCAGCAGTGGCAGCAACTTCAGAGGCAGTGGAGTGGGACGCGTCAGAAAGGGAAGCAGATGGGGCAGCTGCAGCTGCAGACAACTCAGCGGTTCGCTTACCACAGTCTTTCTATGGTGACTCTGATGCTGAGGCTCCTTCAGCTCCCGTTGCGACAGCAGCAGCAGCACCTAACGCAGATTTCCTACGGAGCTGCAGCACAGACACAGGAACAGCAGCAACAACACCAGCAGCAAGAGAGAGGATCAGTGCAGCGCGAGCATTTCTGGCTTCAGAGGCTAAGATTCACGGGCGACTGCTGCTGGCGTGCAGGCGCATGCAGCAGCAGCAGCGGCTGCCGATAGCCTCAGCCAACACATTTTTCACGGGCAAGGCAACAGCTCCAGCGGCAGCAGCACGCGCTCCTGCTGTCGCTGCTGTGGCATTTTCACAACAGACAAGACGCTTGGGGACTGTCGGTGAAGCTCCAGGTGCGGCAGCAGCAGCAGCAGCAGCTCGGGGCATAAAGGCCCTCCATCTTCCACCTGCCAACCCATGTAGCAAGGGAGACATCAATGGCCGAACACCAGCAGCAGCTGCCGTTGCTGCCAAGCAGTTTCTCTCAAGGCAGAGGACGTGCCATTCTGCCGTTTCGGAAGGAGAACGTTCAAAATTGGGAGAACGCTCCAGCTTAAAACAGCAACAGCATCGGCACAAACAACAGCAGGAGGAGCAGCAACAGCAGGCGAGTGGGCTGCTTTGCTCTCGACGAACAATTGGTTCATCGGCAAGAAGGGCTCTCTCACTCACAGGGGGCCACATGTTTTCTGGCCGAAACGCAGAGCAGCAATAGGAGCAGCTGAAGCAGTCGCAGGCAACACAGTGCCGGGCAATTGAGTATACAGCAGGGACAAAAACGGATCCTTCCGAAGCTAGTTGGCTGGTGACCGGCTTCAGCATCACGCCACTTTTTCTGCTGCAACAGGAGCGAAAGTAATAGCTACAGGAAGAGCTTGAAACAGTGCGGAATGGAGTGGGAGCGCCAGCAGCAACAACTTCTACCACCAGCTTTCTCAGCAGGGCAGCTGCAGGAGGCATTCTAAGCATCATTGAGCCGAAGCTCCAAGAGACAGGGGATCACTGAACGCGACGAACTATGAAGCCACGCAAGCTGGGGTTAGTTGCCAACTAGTCGTGGCTACTTGCTGACCCTCAGCAACTGCCCGTGGCTCGGGGTCGTACACTTCTGCACTGTACGTGGAGCAGCAGCAGAATGAATATCAGTAGCAGTCCTCCAGGCTATACTGATGGCATCGCTCGCATATGGAGCCGCATCAGGCGCTGCCTCGTCTCCCAGCACACCCGCAGGTGGCTGCCGCGAGTTGCGGCAAAAGTAGCAGCAGCCGCTCTCGCAACAGCGGCAACTGGCGGCAGCAGCAGTTTACTAGCTGCTAAAATCGCGCCGCGGTTGCTGCTTTCGGCCTTTGCACTGGGACTTGGCCGTAGAAGATCAAGCACCATTGCAGGGGCTGCTGCTGCAACCACAAGAACAGCAGCAGCAGCAGCAGGTTTTGTTCAACTTGCTGCACTTCCCCCCAGCGGACGAGAGCCAGACCGCATTTTGCACAGGAATTACCACCATGCCGTCACTGCTGCAGTTGGAAATGTGTCTAACGCTGCAAGCTTCGTAGCTCAGCCTTCCTATGGCGCATGTTGCTGCTCTTGCGGAGGATTGGCTGGTAAGGCTACCGGGGTGCTCACTTCTTTGAGCAGCGAGAGCAGCAGCAGTGGAGGGGGCTTCAAAAAGCGGAAGCTGCGTGCCATATAATGTACGAAGCAGCGCAGAACCAGCAGCCAAATCAGCAGCAGGGTCATCTACTTTGCACAGGAACGGCAGCAGTGTGCAGTAGCAGCATTGTCATCTGCTTTGCACATGAACAGCAGTATTCTGCAGCAGCAGCAGTTGCAGGAAATGGTAGGGATGCAACAGCAGCTCATGTTGCTCTCATGAATCAAGCTTTTGTGGAAGTTTCAATAGCGTTACCGAATCGCTGCGCCTGCAGCAGCGGCACTAGCAACAGCAGCAGCCGCTTGTGTTGTTGCAGCTACTGCATTTTTCTCGGTAAGTCTGGCATGAGGTGGGCCTACAAGGGTGAATATCCCAGAGCCGGCGGACGCCGGCTGCATTTGGTTTGCTGATGGACATTTCAGATCCACGCACGATCACAAACAGAACGCAGCAGCTGCTGCTGCAGCAGCATTAGGATAAGCTGCAGCGGCAGCGTTATAGTTAAGTGGTTGGTCATGCAATTTACCTCGGAAATGTGCAGATCTACTTCGCCTTGGCTAGAAAGAGGCGTCTTTTGTCGCTGGTGCATGCTAAAGCAGAGGCAGACAGGGCTCGCTTGTGGGTAGTTGAAAGGGACGTGAGTAGCCCTGCAGAGCAATTACAGTTTTTCTTCTAGGCGCCATTGGCTGGCTCATGGAAAAGTTCACAGCTAAGCATGGTTTGTCGATCTAGAGCCCATAGCGAATTAAACGACGCATTGAGCGACCAGGATATGCTATTAGCAGCGGCACCCATGGAATGAGACTTTTTTAAAGAAATTTTCAGCTGAACGCAAGGCAGTGCTTTGCGTCTTTGGCCCTTTGACAGCAGCAGATGAAGTGGAATTCCCAACAACTAAAGTAACGTAAGCAGTGACAACAGAACCGCCAACAGGTGCACCAAAGACCATACGGGTGAATGCATTGGCAGCTGTTGCAGAGGTACAGCAGAACTTCGGCAGTGCTGCAGCAGACGCGGATAGACAAAAGTACCAGCTGCAGCAGGAACAGCAGCCGCAACAATGGAATTACACATGCTGCACCAAGCTGCAGTTTATGTGAAGCAAAGGTGCATCAGCAGCCTAAACATCAACAGCAGCAGCAGGAGCTGCAAACCCACCCCTTTGTGCGACTTGGATTACAATCGGTCATGTAATAAAAATTACGAGCCACAGTTCCTGTGACAGATCGGCTGCCGCTGCTCTGCTCTTTGATTTCGACGCTGCTGCTGCAGCAGTACCTCGAAGTGCTGCAGATTGCTCTTTGCTGGCTGTACTGTTTTTGCTTCTGCAAATACTTACCAGCGACGACTTACACTTGAGCTGATGCAGAACCTCTTGATTTTGCGTTTGCTGCACCACGTGCATATGTTGATGGCAAGCTTTACAAAAAACATCTGCTACAATAGGGGGCTTGCTGCCGCCAGAAGAAGGCAATTACACTGCATGCTTATACAGGCAACATAAATTTGTGCCTAGAAAGCCAGTGTAGCGTCGCTGCTGCTAGATGTTTATCGGGCCTTAAGCGGCCACCGCACGAGTATTGGCTTTGCGAAGTAATGTGTAGAAACATGCGCGGCTCATGAGCTTTTGACGCAAAAAACGTGTGGCCCATAGCAGTGGCCGGCTAGCTTTTGGGCTGTAGTATGAAAGGGCTTGTGGAGTGCTCCAAAAACACGCTTAAAAGGCCCAAATTTGGCACCCCACAAGGGACTGCTCTCCACATTCTGCGCAACATTCTGTCAAAAAAACAACTCTGGTTTGGCACAAATCTGATATAGCAAGCCGCTGCTGCCCTCAACAGATCTAAAAGGATGCGCACATATATATGCACATACATGAAGAAGCTTTGAAAAGTGTTGAGTAGAAAGTAATATTAATACACATTTGGGGCTTCAAACTAAGTTGCTTCCAGTTCGTTCCAATTTCTAGTTATAACTGAACAGCAAATAATGCAATTGTGATGCTCACTTTATAGAGAAAATGCATCCCATACTTTTACTTCCAGGCTGATGCCGAGTTAAAAAGCAGCTATCAGTCTCAAGTTTAGTTCTTGCTGTTCCCAATTTCGTCTAAATCCGTCTGGCTTCACAGCACTTGATAGGAATCAAAAGACAAGGCTACGAAGAGGCGCTAGATCCAAAGAAAGTGCCCTACAATTTTGGGCCTAGGGTATCTCACCAGAGTAAGTCTGAAGCCAGAATTTTCGAGGCTTTCCAATAGGTGCAACTCATCCCAAACATCACAGACTAAGACGTAGGAAAGCATCTTGAGCCGCACCCTCTTCTTCAGCTGCTACTGATGCTGCTCCTGCTGGAAGAGCAGAGCTAACAAAGGGAAACTGTTGGAGAAGCAGCACTGGCTGAAGCATCAGCAGTGGCAGCATAAATTCTATCAACTGCAGCACGTTCACTTGCAGCACCCATAGCAACTGCTGCAGCAGTAGCTGGTTCAAATTGTTTTCGTTGCATGGGATCTTTCATCCTGCCGTCTACCATTTGCTGCAGGCTATGAAGTAACCTGTGAGAGTAACACCTAGAAAGGGAGGAGCTGCCTCTTCAGGCTCGAAAGTGCAGAGGCCACCAAACATCCAGGGGCGTCTCACTTCTGCAGCCTGTTTCTGCTACTTGCTGCTGTTCTTTGCGTTTGTAGGTGTGGAAGTTCATTTTACGGCGACACAAGTGATACATGCAGGGAGGAAGCAGAAGCATGAAGAGGAGTGCGGCGAACAACAGAATTTCACCGTATGCAATCAGAAGCAGAAAGAAAGGTAGCCACGCCAGACTGATCGCTGTTTCTTCTACGCACCAGGCACGCGTCACATGAGTCGCTTCGGGAAGCTATGTACGAGTAGCGGGTCCCTATCAATCGAAAAGCTCCCTTGAGTACATTTATTTGATTACGTACGCTTTTCACGTTGTGAGACCGGCATATGAAGCTCTCAGGGCTCAGTCGTATAAGAACCGCAGCCGTGGCGGCCTCAGTTCGGCACGCCAGTTCCAGAGTTCTTATGTACTGAAAGAAAGGGAATCTGCTTGGCTTGCAGGCATTGCATAGAAGAACTAGTCGAACGCATGGTCAGTAAAAGATCTGCCATGTAATCACTTTCCCGGCAAAACTTGTATATCATGAAATAAGGAACTCCAGCAAAAGCGCTTAAAGTCTTGCTGTGGGCGTTTAGTTCACTTGTTGCTTGTGTGGTTCAAAGAGATGCGAACAAGGAACAAGCTATCAAGGTGATCTGAACGAGCGGTTCAGAGTTGATATCCCATGAATAGCTAGTGACAAATATCTCAGTGCTGTTTTGCACTTTTCTTGGTCGCTGGTAGGTCGTAACAACTGTGGATGCGACTTTCCGCAGAATAGTACCGAAGTGACAAAGTTATTGGTGTGGCTACTTTTCTCGACGTTCCAAAAGATATCTAGCAGTGGAGAATGTGGTGGTGTAGCTCCACATAATATCGCCTTTCTACCGGTAAGAATTGATCAAGGCACGTCTTCTAGCGATAATGGCCTTGGGTACTTCACTGGAAGTACGGGACGCACTTGTTGCACACCTTGAGAATGCGTCTGTAGAGTTTCTGAGGCCTTACTGTGCCTCTTTCCCGGCGTAGCAGAAACTTGGACAGTTGCAGCTTCTGTTGGTTTTGCAACTGCCTGATATTTGATACAACCGCATGCGCAAAAGGCAAACACTGATACTCTGCTCCTGTAGCAAGCGCTCCTCCTGCTGCCAGACAGGCAGAGAAAGTTGCTCTTGGCGGTCAAAACGAGCTCTGACGACAAAAGCTTCACACACGTGAATGGTGATACAGTTGGACGCAATCCAGCTACGTCATTTAAAGTTAAGAGATAACAGCTGATTTTCTCCGCAGGGTATCTGCTGAAAGCCAGAAACGAGAGGCTGTTGGCGCTACGGAGGACAACCAAGCATAGCGCAGTTGTGTCTGCGTCGCCGCATAAGCAACAATTGCTGTACAAGCACCTGAATGATGTTCTGCAGGCACTGCTCAGCTGCTGCTACAAAACTGCAGTGCTGCACGGCGAATGTGCATGCTGTCCTTGCCTCCTGCTCAAAAAATTTTTTGCCGGAACTCCGGAACCACCAGATGCAGCAATCTTGTTGCTGCATCACGTTTTGTACGCGTAAGAAGCGACGATGCACCAGACACCTAGGCCCACGAAGGCTCCTACCAGCCCTCCAACAATTACGTAAGTGTAAGGGTTAGTGTACCAATTGAACATGCCGCGGGTCTGCTTGGACTCCATGGGTAGCGCCCACTGGCCTGAACAAACGTATCGATGGACAGAAGGCCGCAAGAACAAGCTGATGGGTAGAAATGCGTATTCGTTATTGGCACAAGTGCCTTGCCAGCTGTACGTTGAGATATTGTATGTCGGCACTGCCGTAGGACAGGCAGCAAACGAGGGTCTGCGTTACCGTGATATAAAAAGGATGCTTCTTCATTGTCAGCAATACGCGACAGCTCGGCGCCAATTGGTCTTGAAGTTGCGGCAGCTGTCCCTGCGGCTTGAATCTGCTGTGGCAGAAAATGGAGTGGCACATGAATCAGGCCGCTGCTGTCTCCGTGTTGTGTTGCCAGTCCTTCATCAGCTCCCAAAAGAACATGTTTCTTGGCTTTATTTGCGTTGATTGCATCCGTCAACGCGGTTGCGCCCAGCAGGACAAGCAAAAACAGCAGCTGCTGCGGCGGCCGGTGGACCCTATGAGAACCCATCTCTTCTTGCAGCTTTCCACGGCTGCTACGCCCCCACTAATGCCAGAATAGACTGTGTTAACAGTATGGGTATGCTGGAATAGAGAGTTTCCTGTGTCGTACGTGATCCCCAGTGAGGCCTTCGAACAATGAGCGAATAAGCGGCACAGTCATGTCCTCTTCAGCTGCTGCAGCTGCCTTTTCTGTTCAAGCTTTTTCACATCAAAGCAGTGTCCCTAAAGAAGATGTGTTTGAGCAAAAGGAGTAAGAATATAGACCGGAAGAACTAGAACAGACTGCCGCGCTTCTTAGTACGACGGTTGGACGGGTTCTGCTTACTATCGACTGCTGCCTGACGAGGGCCAAACAGAGACGAAGAAGCTTTCTTCCAGTACAAGCTTGATCCTTTAAGCTTTAAAAACTATTCGCAAGGACAATACTAGAAGATTTGGAGCTTACGAATTGCCATCGAGCCTAAAAGGAGACCAAGGGGCCAGCGGTCTGTCGGCAGCGGTCCACAAATAATCGGGCCAGCCCTAAGGCGAGGATGCTTAGCCGCTATGCAATATTATGCGACCAATAATTCATTTTCTAACGCTTTAATTTCCTTTTTCTCAGAGGAAAGGTTCATGTAGCCGCTAGACAGAAGTGAACGCGCTAATATTCACAGTGCTGCCGCAGTTGGCAAGGGCGAGCAGCAACTGAGACTGGGCAGCTGCAGCAAAAAAAAGCAAGCATCATCAGCTCACGGCAAAATTTTAAGAAATTAACAAGTAAGTGAAGCTTACAAAGACTCTAAAGAGCATTAGCGGTCAGTAGAGGCGAAGAGCAGCAACAAGCTACAGAAACAGCAGAATTCCCGACACAGCGGGAACCGAAATTGCAGCAGCAGCAACAGACGCGTCAGCAACGGTGAGGCACATCTGCTCAGTTAATGTTTAATAAACGTTTCGAACAATTTTATTCCCTGAATGGACCCAATGCAGAACGAGCACGGGTGAGCTAGCTGACTCTCGACAGAAGGCCCCCACAGTGTTGTGTCGTTATGCTTCGGTATTCTTCCGGCTGATGAGCCCTGGAGGGCGGAGAAGGTAGCTAGGCAGGGCCTTGTCGGGACAGCCTGGACTTCGTGAGGGACACGATATCTTCAGTGAACTTGCTGGTTTACGCAGAACTCCTTAACACGCACCATTCAAAAACAAACGCAAAGCACACTGGCCATGACAATGCGTTCAAGCAGCACTAATGATTAACATGCAATCAACCAATGCAACCAAGAAAACAGTGGCTGCAACCATGCAGAAAAATCAGGTACCATCACAAACAACGCCACGATCACCATCGCAGTCTAGCCTCTCCCGCAGCGTCGAAAGAGAGACGCCTTGATTCTACGCGAGCCTGCGTTTCGAAAGTGAGTCGGGGTGTGGAACAAGGGTCTGCACCAAGTCCTGCTTCTAACCTGTGGGATTTGCGTGTTTTTGAGGCGGCTTCCCCGGCCTCAAGCATTCCTAAAGACCAGAGTGAAGAGTGTGTTCAAGTGTCAAGCAAGCTTGAAAAGAAGGCTATTCCTACGCACCGAAAGCAACTTTATGCAAGCCAGCGCGCCTCCGCGATCAAATTAGACACAAATGTAACGCAGCAGCTTGCTACCTGGTACTTTGCGCTCATGACATGTGTTGAGTGCCTTAGGTATGCTAGTAGTGGAGACGAAGAGCGTCGTTGTATAGAAAAATTGAGTGCAAGTCGTCCACATGCAGGCAACGAAGATTGAAAACGACCCGTATTCATAAAGAAATGTGGCTGCTGCAATGGAAACCAATAGGTGCTGTGCGGTGCATTAGAGGCATGAGGCTTTGCTCTTCACGTGAACTTCTTGGAGCTGGCAGCCCTAGGCTGCTCACTAATGGTAATTTTTCGAATTTCCCAACGTAGCATTGCATGATATTCACTGGGTGTGTTCTCTCCTCTGTTCACTTTGTGCTTCTCCCTTTGAGTCTATCACTTCGAACGCCTGAAAATCGGCAGAATGGCCGAGTGGTCTAAGGCGCTGCGTTAAGGCCGCAGTCCGCGAGGGCGTGGGTTCGAACCCCACTTCTGTCATTTTCCTGCGCTTGCAACGCAAGGATTTACTTAGCTGTTTGCGCTGCTGCACCGTTGTGATCTAGCCATGTTTTACATACGATACTATCCGCATCCGCAAAGTGGAGAGTGCTGTACGGTCAGCTAACTGAACGAAATTTGAAGGATATCAAGAAGTGTGAAGCGACTGATATCGCGTAGAAACGCATGCAGGCAACGCAGGGGAGAAATGTACTCAATACCCGTTGAAAACAAATTGCGCCGAAGTAACTTGTCTTCGAAGTCAAGTAGACAGCGCCTCAACGCGCCCAGCTTGAGCGAAATGTGGATCCACTCGCTGAACTTGAGAATACATTGGACGGCCCGAACCGCATGCTTCGAGCCCAGAGAGACTGCTTAGTGTCGTCAAAGATGCACTGGAACTCAAAGCGCTGCAAATTTTGGAGAGATAACGCCTTCAAGAGCTGTGCATGCGAGCCCCCGATACTTCTTAGCTACCTATATCCTAGAGCTTTACCTCTGAGTTTTCCAACACATTCTGTGGTACCGGCAAAGCCTTTACATGCTCTGCTGTGTGTGCCAATGGAGCTTATTTAAGTGGCTACTTCATTCAGTATGCATTCAGCCGTCGCATGGTAGGTAGGGTAAGCAATGCGGAGCCATTACACCTTCTGGCACTACAAACGCAAGGTGAGTTTGGCGCTTCGTTTGCGATCCATTTCCTGTATCGTCTCCTTCTGTCATCCTGTCTGCCTGAGTCTCCTTGTTTCTTTTTGTTTCTATACTTGATTGAGCCTCTCTGTTGGCGTCTATCCTCTTCTGCCTTTCCTTCTCTTTGTCTTTGATTGACAATCGACAAACAAAATAGCTGAAATTTTTCGGAAGCGGAAAAGTGATAAAACGATATGAGCCCTTCATCCCTTGGAAGACCTTTAGCTTTCATTTTGCAAACACAGAGCCTTAAGTAGATACGTAAGATGTATAAATATCAAAATTGCTTTTTGTCGCCATGCAAGCTATGCATGAGCAACAAGAGCGCATGCCAACTATGCGCTGCTTGCAGGAGACACTGCACCTTCTGGTCCGGGCTTGTCGAACCTGAAAAAAACCAGCAGCAGAAACAGCTGCTTCTAAAGTTTCATTATTTCTAGAGCACGCACCACGCACGCAGAGCACGCACCATTGTACAGGAATGCATAGGTATCGTGCACATGGATGACATATTTGGCGACGGTTATTTATCGACATGAATGGCTTTTGGAGTTAGAAATACATGTTTACGTACCACATATTAACTGCTCCCAGCCACATGCGTGCATATATACTTGGGACCGGGTGGAGTCGGATGAAAATGTCAGTGAGCTGTCTTAGTATCTAGAATTCAGTGTCCAACTGTGTTCATAGATTCCAGATTAAAATGATGCTCTATGCAAAAGCATTCTCTTAATCATATCAACGTGTCCTATGTCATTCAGATTTTTCATGGGAAGTATGCAAATGGATTCCTTTTCTTTCAACGAGCACTACACTGCTCCGTAGTTTGAGAGCGCACTTAACAAGCATGCAAGCAGCATTTATACCTTCCAAAAATCAAAACAAATGTACGTATCTTTTAATATTTTTGCTAGCCTTCTCACCAGAAAACAACAGAAATAATCAAATACGCAGCCATGAGCATGACGCCCTCCAGCCAGTTGCTTTCACCGTCTTGAACAACAGCTGCGCGGTAGCACCAAATATCTTGTGCTCTTGGCTGTTCCTGTCTGGAGTTCAGTCAGCGTATCTGCTGGTGTTTAACTTCAGTGCAAGTGTGAGGGCGTGTCAAGTGGTAATAGGATACAAACTTTCACGTATTATCTCTGTACTGTACTCGGACGAATTTACAGAAACACGCCTATGATGTGCTGTGGCATACTCGCAGATGCGCTTAGTTGTGCTACTTTGCCGAAATGCGTTTTGCTACAAATGCGCTTAAATATTCATATGACCTAATGGAATAAGTCTGTCTGTTTCGGCAGTATACAACTCCCTCTGCTTACTGCAGATCCAAGCGCTAAATTATGTATGATGCAAGGCAATATACTGGTATATTTCTGCGTATGGCGCCAAATATAAGCGCAGTCTGCTTATGTGCCAGCTCTACACTGTCAATGCAGGCCTACCCATAGCAACCAAAACTGACAAGAGCATCACGACGGCGCTTAGCGGCTGCACTGCCATGGTTAGCGGCTGCCCCATTACCCAGGCCACCAAAACGGTGAAGGGAAAGACAAACAGAGCTATCTGAGCAAACACCACAAACAAGAAAATCAGCCAGGCACGGCAAAATATGAGGTAGCACTATGTGCATGCGCACGTGTCTCTTAGGTATACAAATGCAGTAGGATGGCAGTGCTGGTTGTACTAATGCAATCAGCAGGTGCAGCATCACCAGCAGTAAAAGCGGCAGTGACGGATGCAACAAGATGTATAACAGCAAGAGCAGCAACAGGATCAACAGCAGCAGCAAGAACGAGATGCATTAGCATATCCATAATCGTTTGCATATAGATTAACCTGCAAAGAATGCTGGATTACAGCACCACGAGAAATTCCAGTCCACATGGCTTCCAAAACACCGGCGAATTTGCATGAATGAGACAAGAAATAGTGCAAAATGAAAACACAAAACTCAGCTAATGAATAAATGACTGAAAGGAAAACACCACCTGTGCAGAAGATCCAACAGCAACTCCCATAGCTAAGTCGACCTTGTTTTTCATTGCGACGGTCACTGCTGTCAGATGTTCTGCCGCGTTACCTGAGCAAGTAAAAGTAAAAGGTCAAAAGCTGAGTTCAAAGGGAGAGCAAACGTGAGAGTATATATGAGTAAAAGCTGAAAAGTGATCTGCCAGATAAGGGCATTGTGGTTACAGATAGGGGGACAAGGGCAGCTTGTAGGCAACGGAAGAGAGGCACAAAGGCATAAAAAGAGCAAGCACTGTCCATACGAAGGAAAAGAGAGAAGCTCGCAGACTGGCAAGACTGTACTACACTGGTGACACTTGCAGCCAGTAGACGTAATGTCTACGTGGAGAAATCAGGGGAAAACATGCTTTTCTGTTTTTCAGCAGCTACCATGGTGCAGCTCAAAAATTGCCAGCAACCTGGTGCAACGTAGGCAGCCTAACGTATCTACAAATCGAATTTATGTGGTTCCCTTATATAGTTATGGTAATATTTGCATCTTCGTGTACTGGCACACCAACAATGGGGAGAAGAATGACGCCTATGAAACTCTCCGACAAGCCGTAGTCCGCCACCACTTCTTCAATTGAAGATACCAGAAGCTCTTGAGCCACAAAAAATATTTACGCTGACTGGTAAACAGATAAATAATGGATAAATAAATGCAGGAGGAAAAGGTGTAAGAACGGCAAACAAATAACTTAACAAGCTCACAATGAGCAACAAAAACGTTCGTTTTGTCACCTCTAAAACCAATGCATAGGTTAAAAGTGCGCCAACAAATTTACAAATAACGATATACAGAATAATTCTGGGAAAATCAAATAATTAATGACAATGAAAACGGAAAACGGAAGCAAATATTGACCAAATACTGACGTAAGTATTAGAAGCGTAGTATCAAAAGGAAAGACATCTGTGATGCTCCAAAATAGTTGCAAGGAACTCTATCGGGTAAATCAAGATGAAACTAGAAGTAAATCAAGTCAAAAAAGGGGGGAACGTCGCGCAAACTGAAATATTCAAGGCAACAAGCTTACCTGAATGAAGTGCCACTAGAGAAGTCACAAGAAAAAGCATTAGTGTCGCTCCTTCCCATGACATCATTGGCCACTGTTCTGCATCTGCAAACGAAAGAACGAACAGAACTTGCAGAGTTGCTCATCTTTTTCTTGCTCCATTTTTATGTCTGTGGCTGTCACCGTCCTTCCATCTACCTCCCTTAGTGTCTGTTTATTTGTCTTCGTGTGTCTGTGTATCGATTTCAGCTTGCTCTGTCTGCCTATCCTCTATTATCCACTCAAATGTCTACTCTTTAGCGCGCATGCCATTGATATGTTGCATATTGTAGTGCGCAAACTGTGCCAAATTTTCCATTCATTTCCTGGAAAGCTGCATTGCACATATATATGTTTATGTAATGGCGTAGATCTGTCCCACTCATGGACAGCAAACATATAAGAAGGGCGTATCAAGGATCTTGACACACGGAGAATACGTTTTGTACAGCGCATACTTCCACCGAATTCGTTGGTGGTATACGATCAAAGTAGCACTGGAGCATTCTGCGCGTACACGGGGTACACTTAAGTTAGAGGATTACACGTACACCCAACAAGAGAGCCACACACAATATACTGAGTACAAGATTCATGCGATGTAGATATGACTTAGCGTCGGTCAGACGCGGATAAAATGCCAACCCATGCTTACCTTCATCATCATCCTTGAAGAGACCTATGTGCGTGTATAACTGGAAGAAAAGAAATAAACAATATGTCACTCCAATAAGCAACGCAGTGATGCGGCTTATCTGCAAAAACAAGGACAAAAGTGCTCTTTGAGGCAGACGAATGAGTGACTTGATTCAAGTTTTCGGCTTTACCCAGTTTTTTTGCAAAGGCGAATAGTAAATAAACATACTGAGCGTACTTGTACACGCGAGAGCTAATTTGTCATCTATTCATAAGAATACAACCTGCTCTGGAGACAGAGAAGGCATTTGCAAAACACTACAGAACAAAACCGCATGTTAAGAGGCAATAACACCAACAGCACCATCCAACGCTACAGCCACAGCAAAAGGAACCAAAGGTAGACAAGATCACATGAGGAAACATACTAAGAATAGCAGTTTCGGCCAACAGGAAAAGAAGAGCTGCACAGACCGAGAGGTGACTGTACTGGCGAGTGCAGAAAGACGCAAGCAGAAGTAACAAGATGAGACGGATATCGATATGCCTGTAAAGGCTGACAGAGAGAAACAAAGACGTGGCGGAGACGCTACTACGTACAAATCTGTCCGCTCACCATTAATATGTTGTAAGTTCCGTGTTGGCCATTGTCAACAGCAGCCACTGTGGGGATGACTATTCCCATGCACGACAGGAGGAGCAGGGTGACGCTGCAAGTAGCACCTGAGAACCAAAGTGCCAGAACGGCACAGAGGGATCCAAGCATATACAGATGAAATTACTAAGAAGAGGGGACAAATCAATTCGCGGTTCTCCCGTAAATAGTAAGGTACACTCGACATACTCAGAAAGAAGATATGCAAGAAAAATTTCATGCAGCACCTAAAACCAGCATCTCCCCTAGACGCTATGCCTCTGATTCTTCTTGACTCAACGCATTAATGATTGTCTCTTTATGTTTGCTTCCAAGCAAGTGTTGTTATGCGTCTGCATCCACGCAGTTGTAGCTTTTGTGCCTATATCCTAATCACCACCCTTTTTTATCTTTGTCAGTTCTGTCATTCCTGCCTATCTCTGTTCCGTTTCCTCCTGTTTCCTTTGCCTATTTCGCAGTCTCTTTTACCATCTGTCTTTTTCCCCATCCCGCCTGCACTTCCCCTAATCCTTAGCCAAACACCACACTCTTATCTCCAGAAACTGGCCTCTAATCCTTAATTTTAGCATCAAAAGTCTAAACTTTGAATGCAAAATTGTGAGCCGCTTCTCTTCAGTATGAGACCGTGAGCACCATCTTGAGTTCTAAGCGGTGGATCCAGAGCACTGCAACCTTCAACCCTAATTCTGTACGCCTGCATGCTGAGCCCGAAGCCCTCACTAATTGAATGAGGTACCTTTTTCGTTGAACTTCTGCAAGTAATGGTGAAGGCCCCCAGCAAAGAAAGACATGCCAAGGACGAGCAAGAGATTGGAGAGAATGGAGCCCAAGAGTGTCCCTTTCACAACTTCTAGCAAACCCTAATCAAAAGCAACAACTTGAAGACGCCAGATATGGAAAAAGGCATTAGTGAGCCAGACCCAAGATGGTCTTAGCCGGGCCCTTAAAATAGTACTCTCAACAGTACTTGTAAACTGATTTATGAGAGGCCCTTTCCTTTAGCTGATATTCAAAACTTTTTAGTCCTGCCATTATCAGAGAAGCCAAAAAGTAGAATCTAGAGGCATGCGGTCAAAATCTTGTGAACTCCAAGCCAGCGTATCGACTTACTATGCGGAGAGCCTGGACCGACAAGATCATTTCTACAGCGTTACCAAACGTAGCATTCAATAACCCCCCAGTGATTTCTGGAAGAGACAAAGACACAAAACAAATGCCAGAAAGCCGGTCTTGTCATTCTGTTTCTCATTAGCATGCATCCTAAGGCATCGTCTGCCTCCCCCTTCTTGGTGTTCTCAGCGTCACGCTGCATCTAAAGCTCGGTGAACGATGAGTTCGAATAAAAACCCTCAGAATTGCATTTATGCATATCAAATTCCTATATAACCTGCTCCTTGCTGGGTGTGCAACAGTCCCACGAATGTTCGTTAGTGTTTATCCCTTCACGCTTCCCCATTTTTTTCTAAGTTTGACACCAGAACTAGGGTGTACATTCACCTCCCGTATGCAGCGACAGCTCTTCCGTAAAAGCCCCTAAGAGGGCAGAAAGAGGAATGAGAGCCGCGAAGTTGAAGGAAAAGACGCAGAGCGTGGGCAGGCCTCCCAGACGGCTCCACAGGCCCAACGGCGCGAACAGCAGCAGCAACTGAGTCCTGCAAACACTTAGTTGCAGTCGACTTGGTAACTTGGCTTAATTCTGTTTAATTGACTTCTTTAACCGAATTAAAGTGGCACGTTTCGGCCAATGCAGGGGCCTGAAGTGCCTTAGAAAGACAGAAGTGAGGCGCGAACAGCAACGCCACACAGAATAAAACGAAACTAACCAAGCAGAAAACAATAGAAGAGTTGCAAAAGGAAATAAAGAAAGTATGGCAGATGTTGCTGAAGTATGTTGGGATAAAATAAGAGAAGCAGAGAGAAAGACAGTAACGGGAACACGAAGAAAAAGTAGAAGAGAAGGAAAAGGACACAAGGAAAGTATACAAGACATTATTGAAAGGCATGGGGGATAAAAGCAAGCAGGCAGCACATAATGACAAGGAAAGAAGAGAAGGCATCGCAAAAAGGCACTTCCGCGGATATATTTACATAAGTACATCTCAGGAGACAAAGATGGGTGGGAAACAGAGGATCTGATCAAGATCAGCAACACAAGAAAATGCAGAAGTCGCAAAAAAGAAGAAAAGGCAGATATGAATTGCAGAAAAGTCTTCAATTTGATGTTTACGCAGTCGAGAATGGCAAAGAGAGGACAAGAGAACGGCAAAAACGAAAAACATGAACTGGCGAAGAAACTCTTGTGGGGCGCGTGCAGCTCGAAAGATAACAATGAATTATGATTTTTATAATATAGTTTGTAATATATTTAAAATATATAGCTGGAAAATGCATCTGTTAAAATGTGTTGGCAAAATTCAAACTGCAGGACTCACTTGGTGAGGCAAATTTCCTTCAATCTCGCAACATCTTCTTTGAGAGAAAAGTCCATTCGGGCATCTGCAACGCCGCCTTCCGTTTCTTCTTCAATTGGCTCCGTCCCCAAACCTCGGAGGCGGGAGTTGCTGCTTCCGTCGGCCAGAAGTCCCAGGTGGAGCTGCCGGTTCGGGGCTGCCACGCTTCCAAGAATGCCTCCTAATTGCAAAAAAAAGTTGAATTAAGTACTTCATTAGCTGCTGCCTTCTTCAGAATTGCAAGGAGACGCAAGGGGGAAGAAAACTGGCTGCTTGGAACGAGCAGCCAGGCAGTCCTTGCGCAGCAAAGTCGCTGCTGCTGTCCAGCAGCAGCAGCAACAGCAACGGGAAAAACAACGGCAAAAACAGCAGCAGCCGCACGACTCGCTGCAGCAGCAGTGCAGCAGCAGCGTCGATTCACACACAATGACAGCAGCAGCAGCGCGAACGTCAGCAGCAGGGCGTGCAGGAAGACTCAGCAACAAGTCGTAAGCGAGTGTGGCAGCAGCAACAGAAGTCGTGCAAAGCAGCAGCAAATACGAAGGAACTGTCGAGGAAAACGCTTCTTTTGCTCTTAATAAGTCTTTTAACTGTTTTATTTCAATTAATAACGCTGCAAGATGCAGAAAAAATGGCACTTGCCTCCGGAATCTTGCAAATCTCCACCAGATGCAATTACTGAACCATCGGGATGCTGCGCCAGCGCTGCGGTGGCTCTTCGCTTGTTCATCGGCTGCGACAAAGTGCGGCGGACGTAAGAAGTAGCGCGGACTCTGTTCATCACCATTTTGTCGGGAAAGTGGAGAAGATTGGATTCCGAAGGAGAAAAAGTTGAATTCTCTCAGCTGCGGGAGCCGTTTGCGCCGAACCAGCGCGACTTGAGGCTCCTCGCCCGGCTCCAGGCGAAATAAATCTCCAATTTTGCGAAATAGAACTTTTAATTCGAGGCGGAGGGGAAAAGTTGCGGAGAAAACGAAGCTGTTTCGGCGCCGGGGCCTCCGCAGTGTGCGGCTGCTGCTGCGCGGAGTTAACACCTGCTGGCTGGGAAAAAAGAAACGACAGCTGGAAAGCTAAAGGCGAAAAAGAAAGAAATAAACCTTTTTGGAAGAGAAAAGGAAAGTTTTTTCCGGCTTTCGAAGGCAAGAGCTGGTCCCGCCCTCGCGGACCTGAGCGGTCACTCCGAACCCAACAAAGAAAGCCGATTAACCATCTAAAGAAGCCCCAGAAAGCCTCCAATTGGGTCTTTATTCTCGAGCCGCGAGGGAAAACGGCAAAAAGAGTTTTTTCAAAGTCCAGTTGGAGTCGAAACAGCAAAAGTTGAACTGCTCGCTGCATGCGCCCGGATCACCCGGACTCCAGCTGAAGCTGCAGTTCTTCTCCGGAAATAAAAACTATTTCTCGAATTCTTTTGAATTAAAACTTAAAAAAAACTTCCCAAAAGTGCAAAAACTTGGAATTCCTTTTGTTAACTGCAGCAGCAAACCCCCGCTGCTGCACCACTGCCAGCTGGCAGTGCGGGAACAGGAACTGAACTTCTTTTTTTTTCGAACTTCCACTTTTAAATTCAACTTCAAAACATATTTATTTGCAACTTCAAAACAAAATTATTTATTTGCAAAATTACACATCTCCACTTTTCCATAACTCAAGGCCAGCAGTTCTGCTGCGTCTTCGAACTCTTACAAAACCTCTCAGCGCAATTTAAACTTAATTTTTTTTCACCACAAATTAAAACTTTGAAATTCTTTTTGCACAGTCTTCCACTCTGAAATAAAACTGTCCCAGTGCCAGCAGCAAGTCCCACACAAGTCTCTCAGTCTAGAAAAAGGAATTTGTTTATTATTAATTTCATCTTTTTACTTTTTTGAAGTTTATTTGCTCTGCTTTGCTACGGCACTCTTCCTAGCTAACTAGGCGACCCAAGAAGCTAATGCTTCTGCATGCAGGCAGCAAATGCTGCTGCATGCATCTTCCGCATGCATCTGCTGCTGCTGCTGCTGCTGCTGCAGCCTTTCTCTATTTCTGCAGCCTGTCTGTTTCCCAGGAGCTAAAGCAGAGAACACTTAAGGAGAAGTTCGTTTGAATCGTTTGCTTCCACCTCCACAACGGCCCGAGGCTTGTCTCGTGGTTGGTTTGCACTTATGTTCGAAATCATTCAAACAAGTTCGAAATCATTCAAACTCAAGTTCGAAATCTTTCAAACTTTTGTTTTAATGTTTTATTAATTCCATTTATTTGGATTCGCCCATCTGCTTGCGCAAACGCGCCACAGTTGAACGCACTGTCGCCGCCGCGGCTGTTTGCAAAGTCCAGGCCCCGCCGGTCATTGTCTTAGAACATCCTCTGCAATGCCAAATGCCGACAGCCTGGCGTTTCACACTCAACTGCAAAAAAATAACAAAAAAAACACAATAAATGACAACAAATAAATAATAATAAATGACAACAAATACGTTCATACCTGGGCGCACGAACGGACACATTCTGCACACGTTCTGCACACGCCCAGGTGTACGTACACCCGAAACGACAGCAAAACGCAGTGCGCATCCCCACTGCGTCGCACTTTGCAAAAAGCTTCGTCATAAACGCGAAGTTCACATTTATTTTGACATTATTTCTGTTTTTTCAAGAAACTGCAACTGCTGCAGTTATACCTTGCCGCAGAAGGGGCAGGTGTACTTGGCGTGCTGCTGCAGCTCCACCTTCTTCATCACCTTACGCAAAGACGCGCCATAACGCGTCCCGTACTTCCCGACGACTCCGACCTGCAAAGCCAAAAACAAAAGAGAAATATTTCCAAAAAAGGCCAAAAGAGTTCAAATAAAGCACCAAATACTCCCCAAGGAGGCCTCGAAGGCCGCCTGCTGTGGCCCAGGAACTCAGAGAACAAGTCTGGCCGCGAGGAGTTCAACAAGTGGCAGCAAATGGCAATTCTCTCTGGAGAAGTTTTCGACTGTCAGCAAAGACGCAGAAAACTCGCCAAGGCCAAAAGCCCTCGAGCCCCCCCAGCGCCTCCAGCAGCACTTTTTGTTTTTTTTTTTTTGTTTTTTTGCTCTCCGTTGGAACTGCCAAAAGTGGAGCCGCTTTTGCCCGCTCTTGGAGAGAGCGCAGCAAAAAGGCATTTCCAATTCAAAAAGCAAAACAAGAACAGCCAAAGAAAACCATCTAATAAACAAATGCTGCACATCTTGCATGCAGACTGATGCATGCAAACTCATGCATGCAGACTCATGCATGCAAATTGATGCATGCAGACTGATGCATGCAGACTGATGCATGCAGATTGGTGCATGCAGATATAAAGTGCAAAACGGTATATGTGGCACTCTTGTAGAAGCGCAGTGTACGTACACTGCAGCTGAGGTGTGCAGCGAAAACGGAGAAAACTCGAAAAGCAAAAAGCCCCGAATTCTCCCGAAGTCTTCGCCACTTTAATTGTTTTTGCTCCCCGTTGGAACAGCCAAGAGTGGCGGAGCTGTTGCCTGCTCTTGGAGAGAGCGCATGCAGAAAGCTGCAGCCAAATGGGACTTAGTCGAATTCGACTTAGTGGAATTCAAGTTCGCGAAATGAAACTCTAAGAACGCATGCAAAAGTGGAACTCAAGTCCATTAAATGAAACTCTTAAGAACGCATGCAACAGAGTGCAGCACAGAAAGCCCAAAAAGCCCCAAGTGCAGCTCTTAAGGCCTTTGTTCAAATTCCGAGCCAAAGTTGAATTGCACTGCCCCACAGCACTGCGCATGCAGAAAAGACAGATCCGGCAGTTCTGCAAAGCCAAATTGGAATTAAACTTCTCCGAAAACAAAAAAATAAAATTAATTCAAAAAATAAAAGAAAAAGCCGCTGCAATTCGCTGCAGTTTTGTGTGCGCGGAAGAAGTTCCTGCACAACACAGTGCGCTGCGTACAAGACGGTGCCCGCCGCCCGAAATGGCTCATGAAGAGGAAATGGAGCAGAAATAATAAATATTTTCATTTAAATAAACAAAAATAAAATAATTAAAGCTCTTTCTCCTCGCGGTTCCCGTCCCAGGCTCCCGAAGCTGCGGTGAGGGGAGCCGCGGAAGAAAAAGAGCTCAAGCCCCACCTTCTTCGTCCTCTTCGCCATTTTCTGCACTTCCCCGAAGAAACCAAACGGCAAAGATCTTTAATTCCTCGCCAAAAGAGATCTGGCCGCGAAGTTTTGCACAAGTTCAAAGCTGCGCAGCGCCTGCCACTGGCAGTCTGTCATCGGTGGCGGCCGCTGAGGAAAGCAAGTTGGGGCTTTGGGGCTTTTTTTCGTCTTTTTCTGTTTTTTTGCCACCGTTGAATCCAATTTTCTTTTTAAATTAAATACTGCAGAGGTTTATTCGTTTAAAAGTGCTTTAGAGCCTCTGGAGAAGCAGCAGCGTTGGCGCCGCCGCGAGTTCCCCAGCTGGTGTGCATGTGTGGACACTTCTCCCGCACCCATTTACCGAAAATGCACCTTATAAATTCAGCATTAAACATTTAAGAGTTATTTTAAAATTAAATTTAATCTATTTCGATTCCAGTCTCACGCACTTCCCTTAATGACGGCTCGTAGCCACGCGAGAACAACTTTCCCTGCGCATGCACCGAAATCAGGAAAAACAGAATGCGAATTTTCGCGAGATCTGCTTATTACGTTTCTCTAAACTTCACCGGCATGCGAAGGAGAGATAGATGCGGCAATTTAGAGCGAAGTTTGTCCTACTGGCCTCTAAATAATAGCCTGAATTTCTCAGAGTATAAATCAGCTTCAATGGATTAAAACTCGGCATTATGGCTGCAGATTAGCCCCGAAGTTTTGTCTCAGTGCTTCTTTTTGTGCCTGGAAACTCCGGTGTGAGGTATATGCCCCGAGCAGTGTTAGAGAAGGTTTTGCAAGAGCTCTTGACTCTGTCTCGTTCTGCTTCTTGTTTTCGTTTAAGCACATCTTTTGCTTCTTGTTTTCGTTTGAGCAGCAGCAGTTCTGCACGGCATCAGAAATGAATCTACATAAGATAATTAGAACTGAAATTAAAAAGGAAAAGAGCGGAGTTTCCTGTACGGGAAGTGTTTAATGACTTATGAGACTACTTCTTCACATATACCAGAAAAGGCCGCGTAAAACTTTTCTTTTTTCCTCGAGGCAATCAAAAGACCCAATTAAAGTTTCACAACAACTCTCCTGTCGTTTTTAAATTCTCTTTATTCTCCTCTAGAAGGAGTTCCTACTAGACAAAAGCCAGCTGTTCTCTTCCAGCCACTTCTTCCAACGAAACTTGAACTCCTCAAACTTCTAAAATTTGTCACGAAGACATTCCTGATATTCCTCTTGGCACTTTTTGCTGTAGGCTGCAGCAAAATGGTGGACTTTAATTCCACTTACAAGCAATGCAGCAACTGCTTTCTTTGCTGCAGCAAGTGCAGCAACTGCTTTCTTTGCTGCAGTGAGCGCGAGCTGGAGAGAGCATTTGCATGCAGTAAAATACTTTTATTTGAGAAATAAAATTCATTTTATTTTTGACAAATTCTGCACAAAGACATTTGTAGAGTTTCATGGAAAACAGCACTTGGTGCCACCTTTGATTCAATCTGGTGAAAGCTCCTGTTCCACCGAATTAAAATGCATTTTGCAAAAATTGGAGTTTTTAATTCAAGTTTTTTTTCTCAAGAACAGTTACTGAAGTCTGCATTTTCCTTGAAATTACTTTTGCAACTTTGCGCTCATTCTGAATGGCCAATGAGCTCAGAAGAAGCGGAAAAACGGAAAGAATTGTTTGCAAAAAGTGATTTAAAGACTATAAAAGAGTGACTTGAAGACTCTAAAAGACTTATAATTGCATTTATATGGCTTAACTTTGCTTTTAAAGTCGCAGTTTCCACAAAAGATTCCTTTTCAAGTTATTTCCAGTTTCGTTTGTTCAGCTTTCCCGCGAAACTGCGAACAGGCTGTGGACAAAAAGTGCAAATATTCTTTTTAAAACAAATTGGAATTATTTTTAAAGTTGTTTTGTTTTTAAGAAGTACAAATATGGAGTTATGTTTAAGTTGTTTTGTTTTTAAGAAGTGCAAAAATAGACTTTCAAAACATCTCATTGTTGCTGTTAAAAGGCCCTTTTCAAATTTCTTCAAAAATATTCTGGGCCAAAACACTTTAAATTATAATTTTTATATTTCTAAATTGAAATATTTGAAAATAAGTTCTTCTCTCTTGCAAAAAGAAAGCCACACGTGTGTGTTGCTGTTGCTGCATTTCTCCCAGCTGCCGCCACTGCAGCAGCAGCAGCAGCAGCAGCAGTTTCTTCTGCTGCTGCTTACTTCATTTGATTATTATATTTAACTCTTTCTACCTTTTAATTTTATTTCAAGTTCATTTTATTTCTAAGACAGCTCGAGGCTCTTTAGAACTCGCCAGGCGTCCCATAAAAGGACAAAAGTGGTAATTGATAACACAAGAGCAGCAGCAGCAGCAAGAGCAGCAGCAGCAGCAAGGGCAGCAGCAGCAAAACACGCAGCAGCAGCAGCAGAAGCAGCAAAGGCAGCAGCAGCAAATGCAAAGAGCAGCAGCAGCAGAGAGGCCCTTGGGCAGCAGCAAAACTGCTGCTGCAGCAGTCTTGCTGCTGCTTTAAATTAGAAATTGCTGCTGCAACAAAACCAGACTTCAACTTTGAAATTTTTTGCAGATTTACAAATCTGAAAAAGCAAATTAAGTTCTTTTCCGAGACCTTGTGGGGCCGCAGGTGTACAGACACCTGAACACCAAGTGGAAAGTCAAAAGAATTTAATTCTTTAAAAACACTTTTCAGCTTTTGCTGCTCTGCTGCTGCACCTTTGCTGCTGAGAGTGACCAGTGGTCCACTCCAGTGGTCTTCTTCAAATGCCTTAACTGCCAAAAAACTTTTCATTAAAACCCTCAGCAGCAATTCCGGACTTTTCGAACTTCCGAAAATTTGCAAATTCTTTCTTTAAAGAGAACGAACAGAGGAGTGCTGAGCCTCCAACGCCTTATATATATATATATACATAAATATATATATATATATACATATATATATATATATATATATATATATAGAGAAATTAATATTACATATACATTTATATTATATTTATATTACATATATATTATGTATATATAATATATAAGAAACTGGAGATACATTAAATAGTGCAAATAAAGTCCGTTCTGTTTCGGGGAGTTTTCTTAACAGAGTAACTTTGCAGGCGAAGATGAAGAATTGGAAAAGATGAAAAGGCATTTGGGATTTCGGGAGTTTTAAAACTCCTTTTTGGGAAAAATGCTTTTTTATTTGAAGAACACTTAATAATATTTTGCTGCAGTGGATTGTTTTGGGATTTAAGTGGAGAAAAAAGAGTCAAAAAGACTTTCTTGAAGATTCAAACTTGCACAGAGGCGCAGCAACTCGAACAGCCCCGCGCTGGCGAGAAAATAGGGCAAAGCGACCCTCAAAGTGAGCTAGGAAAGAATAATAATTAAAAATAAAACAATTTAATTGCGAAATAATTAAATGAATTGCAAATTCAGCCCCTGCCGACCCCGCCACACCTGCGGAGTATATACACCCCGCGGCTCTGCCTGCAGGTGGGGCGCATGTCTACGCGGAATGCGACGGCTGCGACAGATCTTTGGACAAATTGGTTTAATTTTTGAAATAAAAGGTATTTTTTGAATAAAAAAAGCAAAAAAGCGGAGCAAATTGGGGGGAAGGGAGGGCCGGACAGGCGGGTGTGGGGGAGGCTAGGCAGTGAGCGGAGTGAAGCTGCAGCGGGCTTTGTCTGGAGTTAAACTGCGGCTTCTGCTGCACTGGACAATATAATTAAAAAGAGAAACTGCAAAGAAAGAACTGCATGCGGAGAAGAAGCAGTTTTGGTTGGAGTGTGCAGCAGCAGCACCAACAGCAGCAGCAGCTGCAGCCAGCCCCCACGGAGGCGCAGCAAGCACCCCATTGGCTGCGGGAGGTGTGAGCGGATCTGGCGGCACCGAATTCGCGGGTTTAGGGTTTAGGGTTTAGGGTTTAGGGTTTAGAGTTTGCGCTTTTGTCTGAGGGCGGCTGCGCGGCCTCCCGTGTGCGAACCACGAGCTGTCTGTACACCGCAGCGCGTCGGGTGTCCCGCTCGCTTTTCGGCTTTTTCCGCGTCAAATCTTTTAATTTTTGGATTTCTGAGACTGAAATTTGAAGGGCTTTCACCATGGCGGTCTTAGGCATCGATATTGGCTCTCAAAACTCCGTCGTGGCCACCATTCAGCGCGGAGTTGTCTCAGTCGTCCGCACGGAGCTCTCCGACCGCCTCACTCCTTCCTTGGTGCTCTTCGCCGAGGGCCACAGACTCATGGGCGACCATGCCGCCCCTTTGGTGGGTCTTGCTGCTGCTGCTGCTGCTGCAGCAGCGGCAGCGGGAGCTGCTGCTGCTGCGGCGGCGCCCGTTCCTGCTGCTGCTGCTGCAGCAGTTCCCGCTGCGCTGCAGCAGCGGCTCCCCGTGCGCGCTGCAGCAGCAGTAGTCGCCGCTGAGGCGACTGCTCCACCTGTAGCGTTAGCAGCACTGCGCTGGACAGCAGCAGCAGCAGCAGCAGCAGCAGCAGCAGGTCTTGCTGCTGCTGCAGTGCATGCTGGGCGCGTCTGCTGCTGCTGCTGCGCTGCTTTTCCCTTGCGGGGCTCAAAGTCTTGAGGGTTGCTTGCTGCTGCTCATCGGCCCTTTGAAGGACTAGAATCCGGCGCAACTGGGGAGCCTGCTGCTGCTGCTGCTGCTGCTGCTGCTGCTGCTGCTGCTGCTGCTGCAGGTGCGCAGCCAAACGAAAGTCTGCTGCCGCTCCTTCAAAAACTTGTTGGGCGAAGTCTTCAAAGAGTCCTCGCGAGTGCCGCGGGAGCAGCAGTTCCAACTCGCGGACATTGCAGAAGCTCCGGGCGGCGAGGCTGGCTTCAGGGTCCGAACCTGCTGCTGCTGCTGCTGCTGCTGCTGCTGCTGCTGCTGCTGCTGCTGCTGCTGCTGCTGCTGGAGGTCCGGCTTCTGCAGCAGCAGCAGCAGGCTTGCCTGCCTTTAGCCGCTGCAGACCGCGGGAAAGCGGCTCCCGCCGCAGCCCGCTGCACTCCCTCCCCGCTGCTGCTGCTGCTGCTGCTGCTGCTGCTGCTGCTGTTCCGGCTTCCACAGCAGCAGCAGCAGGTCCATCCGCCGTCCGCCGCTGCCCCCCGCCGCACCCGCCGCTGCTGCAGCGAAGTCGTCCTCAGCTGCCCCTGTTGGTTTCGCGGCCGCAACC